AATGGGAGGTAGGGATGTAATAGTACTCGGAGTCATCTACAGTAACGGCAAACTTAAGATTAAGGTGAATGAAACCCATTAAAAAACGTGTCAAATCAAAACATTTTACATTACTGAGAGTAAATAGGAGTCTCAGGATTACATTGAGGACCTAACGACCACATCTCGACCTTGAGTCAGAGAGCAAATGGCTCACCAAGGCTGGGCATGACAAGAGGGTATCTGCCGAATCTACACCGCCAGGCCACCATGCACTTTTATTGAAAGGAGAAGGTAAATACAGGTCTAAAGCACATAATATAAACCCAATTTAGAGCTCTAGGAAAGCGCTAGGGCAAGATTTTTACAATTTTGGGCAGCTCTACATCAAAAACGGTTTAACCCGTTGAATCCTCAAATGCAACGAAGCATTCAACGGAAAACCATATATTAACCTGTATTCAGGTATGGGACGTCGATTACAATAGGTTTGCGTGGCATCCGCTGGCGATATCAAACGTTTTTTAAGGGGGTCAAAACTTTTTCCTCGATTTTTTAAGGTGATTTTTGAAAATTGCCTCTAGATTTTGAAATTCAACTATAAGGTATGTCCTGCTATGTTATTTTTTGTTACTAGCCTGTGAGTATACTACATAGGAAATTTGGTCCGAATTAGTACACTTTGGACGGAGTTAGGAGGGGGGTCAAAACATTGTGCGGGGAGTATAATATCAGAGTGTTCGGGCTGGTACGGGCGCAGTTTAGCTCCAAAAAAGATAAAACTTTGGAATTTTTAATTTCATTCGGTCTAGTTTCGAATGGTGTAGGTCACATCATTTCACTCCGACATTTCCAATTCACTTTTTTTAAACTGGTGCCTAGTATAATATCAGAGTGTTCGGGCTGGTACGGGCGCAGTTTAGCTCCAAAAAAGGTGAAACTTTGGAATTTGAAATTTCATTCGGTCTAGTTTCGAATGTTGTAGGTCACATCATTTCACTCCGACATTTCCAATTCACTTTTTTTAAACTGGTGTCTAGTATAATATCAGAGTGTTCGGGCTGGTACGGGCGCAGTTTAGCTCCAAAAAAGGTGAAACTTTGGAATTTGAAATTTCATTCGGTCTAGTTTCGAATGTTGTAGGTCACATCATTTCACTCCGACATTTCCAATTCACTTTTTTTAAAACTGGTGCCTAGTATAATATCAGAGTGTTCGGACTGGTACGGGCGCAGTTTAGCTCCAAAAAAGGTGAAACTTTGGAATTTGAAATCTCATTCGGTCTAGTTTCGAATGGTGTAGGTCACATCATTTCACTCCGACATTTCCAATTCACTTTTTTTAAACTGGTGCCTAGTATAATATCAGAGTGTTCGGGCTGGTACGGGCGCAGTTTAGCTCCAAAAAAGGTGAAACTTTGGAATTTGAAATCTCATTCGGTCTAGTTTCGAATGGTGTAGGTCACATCATTTCACTCCGACATTTCCAATTCACTTTTTTTAAACTGGTGCCTAGTATAATATCAGAGTGTTCGGCCTGATACGGGCGCAGTTTAGCTCCAAAAAAGGTGAAACTTTGGAATTTGAAATTTCATTCGGTCTAGTTTCGAATGTTGTAGGTCACATCATTTCACTCCGACATTTCCAATTCACTTTTTTTTAAACTGGTTCCTAGTATAATATCAGAGTGTTCGGACTGGTACGGGCGCAGTTTAGCTCCAAAAAAGGTGAAACTTTGGAATTTGAAATTTCATTCGGTCTAGTTTCGAATGTTGTAGGTCACATCATTTCACTGCGACATTTCCAATTCACTTTTTTTAAACTGGTGCCTAGTATAATATCAGAGTGTTCGGGCTGGTACGGGCGCAGTTTAGCTCCAAAAAAGATAAAACTTTGGAATTTTTAATTTCATTCGGTCTAGTTTCGAATGGTGTAGGTCACATCATTTCACTCCGACATTTCCAATTCACTTTTTTTAAACTGGTGCCTAGTATAATATCAGAGTGTTCGGGCTGGTACGGGCGCAGTTTAGCTCCAAAAAAGGTGAAACTTTGGAATTTGAAATTTCATTCGGTCTAGTTTCGAATGTTGTAGGTCACATCATTTCACTCCGACATTTCCAATTCACTTTTTTTTAAACTGGTGTCTAGTATAATATCAGAGTGTTCGGGCTGGTACGGGCGCAGTTTAGCTCCAAAAAAGGTGAAACTTTGGAATTTGAAATTTCATTCGGTCTAGTTTCGAATGTTGTAGGTCACATCATTTCACTCCGACATTTCCAATTCACTTTTTTTAAAACTGGTGCCTAGTATAATATCAGAGTGTTCGGACTGGTACGGGCGCAGTTTAGCTCCAAAAAAGGTGAAACTTTGGAATTTGAAATCTCATTCGGTCTAGTTTCGAATGGTGTAGGTCACATCATTTCACTCCGACATTTCCAATTCACTTTTTTTTAAACTGGTGCCTAGTATAATATCAGAGTGTTCGGGCTGGTACGGGCGCAGTTTAGCTCCAAAAAAGGTGAAACTTTGGAATTTGAAATTTCATTCGGTCTAGTTTCGAATGTTGTAGGTCACATCATTTCACTCCGACATTTCCAATTCACTTTTTTTTAAACTGGTGTCTAGTATAATATCAGAGTGTTCGGGCTGGTACGGGCGCAGTTTAGCTCCAAAAAAGGTGAAACTTTGGAATTTGAAATTTCATTCGGTCTAGTTTCGAATGTTGTAGGTCACATCATTTCACTCCGACATTTCCAATTCACTTTTTTTAAAACTGGTGCCTAGTATAATATCAGAGTGTTCGGACTGGTACGGGCGCAGTTTAGCTCCAAAAAAGGTGAAACTTTGGAATTTGAAATCTCATTCGGTCTAGTTTCGAATGGTGTAGGTCACATCATTTCACTCCGACATTTCCAATTCACTTTTTTTAAACTGGTGCCTAGTATAATATCAGAGTGTTCGGGCTGGTACGGGCGCAGTTTAGCTCCAAAAAAGGTGAAACTTTGGAATTTGAAATCTCATTCGGTCTAGTTTCGAATGGTGTAGGTCACATCATTTCACTCCGACATTTCCAATTCACTTTTTTTAAACTGGTGCCTAGTATAATATCAGAGTGTTCGGCCTGATACGGGCGCAGTTTAGCTCCAAAAAAGGTGAAACTTTGGAATTTGAAATTTCATTCGGTCTAGTTTCGAATGTTGTAGGTCACATCATTTCACTCCGACATTTCCAATTCACTTTTTTTTAAACTGGTTCCTAGTATAATATCAGAGTGTTCGGACTGGTACGGGCGCAGTTTAGCTCCAAAAAAGGTGAAACTTTGGAATTTGAAATTTCATTCGGTCTAGTTTCGAATGTTGTAGGTCACATCATTTCACTGCGACATTTCCAATTCACTTTTTTTAAACTGGTGCCTAGTATAATATCAGAGTGTTCGGGCTGGTACGGGCGCAGTTTAGCTCCAAAAAAGATAAAACTTTGGAATTTTTAATTTCATTCGGTCTAGTTTCGAATGGTGTAGGTCACATCATTTCACTCCGACATTTCCAATTCACTTTTTTTAAACTGGTGCCTAGTATAATATCAGAGTGTTCGGGCTGGTACGGGCGCAGTTTAGCTCCAAAAAAGATAAAACTTTGGAATTTATAATTTCATTCGGTCTAGTTTCGAATGGTGTAGGTCACATCATTTCACTCCGACATTTCCAATTCACTTTTTTTAAACTGTTGCCTAGTATAATATCAGAGTGTTCGGGCTGGTACGGGCGCAGTTTAGCTCCAAAAAAGATAAAACTTTGGAATTTATAATTTCATTCGGTCTAGTTTCGAATGGTGTAGGTCACATCATTTCACTCCGACATTTCCAATTCGCTTTTTTTTAAAATGGTGCCTAGTATAATATCAGAGTGTTCGGCCCGGTACGGGCGCAGTTTAGCTCCAAAAATGATGAAAGTTTGGAATTTATAATTTCATTCGGTCTAGTTTCGAATGGTGTAGGTCACGTCATTTCACTCCGACATTTCCAATTCGCTTTTTTTTAAAATGGTGCCTAGTATAATATCAGAGTGTTCGGGCTGGTACGGGCGCGGTTTAGCTCCAAAAAAGGTGAAACTTTGGAATTTACAATTTCATTCGGTCTAGTTTCGAATGGTGTAGGTCACGTCATTTCACTCCGACATTTCCAATTCACTTTTTTTTAAACTGGTGCCTAGTATAATATCAGAGTGTTCGGGCTGGTACGGGCGCCGTTTAGCTCCAAAAAAGGTGAAACTTTGGAATTTACAATTTCATTCGGTCTAGTTTCGAATGGTGTAGGTCACGTCATTTCACTCCGACATTTCCAATTCACTTTTTTTTAAACTGGTGCCTAGTATAATATCAGAGTGTTCGGCCCGGTACGGGCGCGGTTTAGCTCCAAAAAAGGTGAAACTTTGGAATTTACAATTTCATTCGGTCTAGTTTCGAATGGTGTAGGTCACGTCATTTCACTCCGACATTTCCAATTCACTTTTTTTTAAACTGGTGCCTAGCATAATATCAGAGTGTTCGGGCTGGTACGGGCGCCGTTTAGCTCCAAAAAAGGTAAAACTTTGGAATTTACAATTTCATTCGGTGTAGTTTCGAATGGTGTAGGTCACGTCATTTCACTCCGACATTTCCAATTCACTTTTTTTTTTAATTTTTTTAAAACATTGCCTTCATCTTCATTACATGCATTGCCTCTTGAAATGCTTTCCCCACCGTTATCGTCTATGATAATTTCTTCCCCATTTTCATCCATACTCTTACTGCATGTAAAAGCAAACTTTTGATCAAACAGTTGATTGAAAATAAACATATAAGCGGGTCACAGCACGGTCAAGAAGTTGTTCGCAACAAAAAACAGTTTATTAAGTATAAGTTGAGGTATAACATTGAGAAATCAAGATGAAGTGTAAAAAACCGATAGCGAAGAGTCTATTCCGGTCACCGGACTCCTCAGAGGTTAGTAAAAACAAAAACGAATATGAGGTTAGATTTGGTTAGATACAGTACCGTTCAAAATGTCTTTTCTGCCCCACGCTTATCGGTGTGACCAAAATTTGAAGACCAGAATAGTAGCCGCTCATGCTACAAATTCTTTGAAGAGCACTCTCGCTGCGAGGACAGAGAACGGTCAAGTTCCGGAAACAGCGTCGTCCTATGATGACACGATGTGGCTTCACCGGCAATCCGAGCTGATCATGGATCTCTTGAACAACATGGTCCACATTATTTCCGGCCACCACTTCGACAAGCGCGTGCTCACATACTCCGGCTTTGGCCTCGTACATTGGGAATGTCATGGTTCGACAGTAGAAGCAAACTTGTGCTGAAATTATTTTGATTTAGTCAAAAAAAATAAACAAATAAGTCAATAAACTCAAAAGGAAACAAACAAATAACTAACCTTGATATCCTCGATTATTTACAACCAGAAAATTCGCTCTTGTGCTAAACAATACGCAACGCGCGAAAAACAACCTATTTTCTCAGAAAAATATTACCTAAATTTCCCAGAATTTCATAAAAATTTGGCGTTAACCCTGTAGCACTTCCTTTGTGGCATCAGTAACCTAAAATAACATCAATCCCATCATTCAACACCCAAAAATCGAAGAATAGGTTTAAAATTATAAATTAACTTTGCCATGACGAGTGCTCAGCTACCTGCCGATCAGTTCCGACTTTGGATGCCGAGTAATCCCATAAGCTACCACTCATCAATCTAGCAGTAATGAAAAAACATCAAAATTTGTGAATAAACTGTATCTGAAAGTCCTTTCTTCTCCAAGCAACAAAATTCGGGCTTCGACTCAGAAAAAAGAAATATATTTTCGACGCTGAAAAGAATGCCAATTTCGTTTCGAGACAGGCCCCGTTGCCCCAGTTTTCTTGACGTGCGGGGATCCTTTCAAAGCGCGAGCTATGGAAGTCTCGTATGTGCTGTTGGGTTCTCACCCAAGTTCCCAGGAAATTTGCATAAACCCGGAAGTATAAATACAACAGAGAAACCCAAGAACTTTCACTTTTCTGTCTCCGGACTTTCGGTTGTGTGTGTGAATATCTCAGTTCAACAAAAGATCTTCTCTTCTTACGATTGGATTGGTGTCTACCTCCCCCCCCCCTTTCTCCAGTGCGTCTAGTCCGTATATGGGGGCTGAGCCGGGGAAGGAGACTCTTGGGGAGAACACATTTGAAACACTGGGAAACGAAATCCTCATGGCAAGATCTCCCCAGTCCGGCCTCGATTACAACCGTGATTAAATTTGTTCAGGAATTCGACGGGCGCTCGGTTGAAATCCCACGTTTTGGTCCGCAAATTTCGGGAGAATTCAGAGTCCACATATTCTGCGACGCTAGTTTCGAAGCGGTGGGCGCAGTAGGCTACATTCAACACATTGAGTCATCTGAGTTATGTGTTCTTGTCGAAAGCGAAACTGACCCCTCCTTCCCTTCGTCCCCGCCCTCATGAGGCTTCTGGAAACACGAATGCTGACATAAATCCCCTTACGGTGAATACACTAGAGATCCTAGCAGTTGAAATTGGGGCAAAACTGGCGTCTTTTATTCAAGCGGAGCTGCCTCGACCAGCAAAATCGTATCATGTGTGGACTGATAGTCGTTGTGCCCTCTCTTGGCTCGAAGGTCAGGAACCCGTTCGAAATAAAATTTTTGTTCGCAATCGGGTGAATTCTATAAAGAAGGTTCCCATGCTTGCGTTTTACCATATTCCTGGTGTCCAAAATCCTGCTGATGTCTTATCCAGAGGAACAGATCTGACCTCGTTGACGAATAACAAACTTTGGTGGAAAGGACCTCAGATCTTATTAGACCCAAAAACCTGGCCCTCCCCGTTGTCCTTAGATTCTAAAGAGGAAGAGAAAGTAATTCCCGTAAAGAAAGTGATGACCGAAACGGTACCGTCCCTTCCATTAACTCTTGTTGAGCAGAACGACATCCTCGAAGTCTCGGCCTCGTTTCTGGAAACCGTTCGCTATTTGAAAGAAAAGCTGAACTGCTCAGCACCTCGGGCTCAAGATTTCATTGTCCGTATTGACCAGACCCAGAATGCGCCCTCCGATCGAGAATGTGAACGTTATGCCTTAGCCAAAAATAATGGAATCTGGTTTGTCACCGGCCGACTAGAGAATAGTGAACTTCCGGAATCGGAGAAGCATCCCATCTTTCTGTCAAAAACTTCCAAGATATTTCCGAAACTGCTGTTTGATCTCCATTCTCGGGTTCATCCAAACCTTAGTACTACTCTCAGTTCCCTGCGGCCCTTTGTGTTTTGTCCAGGAGGACGGAGTCACCTCAAGAACGTACTCATCAAAGTATGTGAGCCATGTCGAAGAGCATTTGCTCGTCCATTTGCCCTCCCCCCAATTCCGGCCCTCCCCGATTCAAGAGTGTCTAGGAATCGCCCTTTTTCGTTCGTTGGGATGGATTGCTGTGGTCCGTTTGCCGTGTTACAAAAACAAAGATTGTGTAAAACTTATCTGTTAGTAATCACTTGTCTGTCAACCCGTTATACTCATCTCGAACAGGTTGAGAGAGGGACTGCCCAGTCGTTGGTTTTGGCTTTCCGCAGGTTCGTAGCGTTATTCGGGCTGCCCTTAGAAATTCTATCTGATCATGGTCGGAATTTCGAACTAGGCGCGAAGGTGTTGAAGAGATTCTCTGGACAAATTGCCACCCTAGGCCCGATCCGATGGCAGTTTACAACGCCGTATAGTCCGTGGAAAGGCGGCGTATATGAGAGAATGATCAAACTCCTCAAAGAAGCCCTGAGAAAGTCTCTTCCTAAGAAACCCTTGCATTCGGAAATGTTCTGCACAGTTGTGTCCGAGATTGGTGCAATGCTGAATCAGCGTCCTATTTTATCGGGTCTATCCAATACAGTAACCCCTCGTTGTTTGAGACCGGTTGATTTGGTTTTTCCGGAGAAGCGAGAAAGCTTCCCATTATTTGTTGAACAAACCGATCCCTCTGATCCCGACTATGTACCATATGTTCCGCCTCAGTCTGATCAGATCGCTCAAGATTGGTCCAGATCGATGTCACGCGTCAATAGATTTTGGAAGAGTTTCCATCAGAGTTACCTTAGATACCTTCAGACGGTTGGCAAACCGCGAGTTGGTCGTTATGAAACCCCCCGAGTGGGACAGGTCGTGCTCCTTCTGAAACCTTCGGAGACGAATCGCAATTTGTGGAAAACCGCAGTCGTAAAGAAAGTGAATCTGAGTGTCGATGGATTTTGTCGTTCTGTAATCCTTGAATCCGAAGGTCGAGAGTTTGAGCGACCGATTTCACAGATTGCACCTCTAGAACTGCCTCCAATCGATTCTCTTCTAGATGGCCTCAATTCGAGAACCCTCTCCGTTCATCGATCTCGAAGACTCAGACTCGGAGGCCAACGACTCGGAGAACCCTCCACAGCCTCCAAGAACGCCACCTCTCTAAGACCTCGTCGGAGAATCGCTGACCGGCCTTATCCACTCCCTCCCACCGATCATCGCCTCCTTCCTGACGGGAGCAATCTCGCTGGTTCAGCCATCCGAATTAGCCCGCCTTACAGGTCCCCTCGTAACATTCGAGGAGCGGGTCGTCGAGGCATTAAGAAAGGCCGTCCGAGACAACGACGCCCCGGTAGGAAAATCAAGAGCTCACCGTTCCGTCACCACCAAACGGGACACACAATCTACCCCCTACCGTCGTCCCCATCGTCCTTCCCCAACTCCGAAGGATCGACCCAAGAAGATGCCAGCCGATCGAACCCGTTCCACCGTGACCAATCGGCCCCCCAATCCGTGGACTTCGCCATGGGCTATCCAGCCCCCATCAACTCCCCAATTCAATCGAATCCCTCCTCCGACTCCTTCACCACCCCTGATGGTCTCCACTTCCTGGCGTCCGAACCCTCCACGAGCCATGACCCAACCGGAGGCCCCCGCGGCATGTTGGGTTCTCACCCAAGTTCCCAGGAAATTTGCATAAACCCGGAAGTATAAATACAACAGAGAAACCCAAGAACTTTCACTTTTCTGTCTCCGGACTTTCGGTTGTGTGTGTGAATATCTCAGTTCAATAAAAGATCTTCTCTTCTTACGATTGGATTGGTGTCTACCTCCCCCCCCCCTTTCTCCAGTGCGTCTAGTCCGTATAGTGCCTTCGAAAATATTACTCTATTTTTGTGCCAAATTTCATCAAAATCTAATTGTCGCACTTGGTGCACTTCCCTGTTAATGCAACAGCGACGAAAACCCGAACCTTTTTATTGGTTCATTTAGTTATTGTATTGTAAGTGCATGCCATAAATTATTAACACTTTAATTAAATCTTCTATGGTCAAACCGTTTGTCTGTTCCGTAATATTATATTATAAGATTAATTGTACGTTGGGTCGTGGTAATTAACCTTTTTTTCGCGGCAACCCACACCCAGTCGTCCCATATAAGGCACATATTTTATACAACTTTGTGAAGAATATGATGGCTTCAGAGATTTTCGAGGTGACGTCATGCGTTTTGACGGCATTTTCGATTGCGTCTTGTGCCTGCGTTTTGATCATTTCGCACAAAATATTCCGCAGGACGAAGAAGGAGTACGCTTGGATCACTGGGTTCAACATCACGATCGAATTGCTGTATGCGGTTTTCAGTGGGATTGGAATGACGGTAAGCTAAGTTTTTGGGGATGAAAATGCTCAAAATGTGTGCCTAAGAGTCCGTCCGAGAAGTTGCCGGACTAAAAATGCCGTCAATAGCTTTACGTGGCCCAAAATTCTTGTGGAAGCCGGGGTAGGCCTTTTTTGAAGCACAAGTGAACTTTCCTAAACGTTCTTGCACACTTGTCGGGCACAGGTCCATCATTGATTATTTTAGCCCACGCTTTGCGAAGGCAGCCTAGATAAACGACAATCTTTGCGGCCGAGAGAGTCTACGGAACGCGAAAAGGGGTCATAGAGGAAGGTAAATTCTTGTGGGGACATCGCCTTCTATGGTAAAAATAGGCATGAAACTTTGAAGGCCAAAATTCGAGTGCCAGTTTTTCGCCAAATTTTCGATATAAAAATCTCGAAAATCAAATTGTTTTTCACTTCAGTGACGCGACAGGCGCAGCAAAAATGTGCTCATTTTTTCCAACAAACTCATCAGGTTTTTCGCAAGCTTAACTTTTCTTTTTATCTCTTTTTTTTACAGGTCGCTTACACCACCCCGACCCAATTCCTTATGGCCACCTACAACCGCCTCCTTTACGACCAATCCGCAACTGTTGTCGACATTGTCTTCGTCTTAAACTTTTACTTTACAAACCTCGTCTTGCCGAACAACGTGATCCATTTTTGGTATCGCTACAACATGTTATGTCGAGGAGTGACATGGTCAAGAAAAAAGTACTGCCTTATTTTTGCGGTAGTGGCTGTTATCGATATCCTCATATACCTCCCCTATTCGTCGACTCGATCGAGGGAGACAGAAGAGAGTTGGGAGATTTTTCGTATGGTCAGTGATGGCTCGATCATTCCACGGCATGTGTTCTTCGAAATTGTGAGTTGGATTTTCGCCGAAGAAGGAGGGCCAAAAAGTCGAGTAAAAACCCAAAAAAAGTAGGATTAAAATATGTGCAGGTCGCGCAAAAAACTAATTGGAAATCTTCGAACGGTGACAAAGCAGAGTTCAGAGTGAGTGCCGACCACTCATAGTAAAAATAAATTTTCCGAAACGTCACTTTTCCATTCGTACCGTGCAGATTGTCTCCTCATTCTTTGTTGGAGATACCAACCACACGGTGCGACAACATGCCAAGACTTGTCGGCCTCCACTCGAGAGCAAATTTTGCGGCGGAATCGAATTGGCCAGGTACTGCTTTCAGAGCTTCTTTAGTAAATTTTGTCACACATCAATTCCGCAAGCTGGTAATTTCGCATATGTCAAGAAACAATTAATCCAACAGGGGAAGTACTCCAAGTGCGACGCTCAGATTTTCTTCAAATTTTGCACACGCGTCGGGTATGGACTAGATATCAATTCCTGAAAGTTTTAGCTCGCGCTTTGCGGGCGCCGCCGAGATATCGAACGATTTTTGCCGCCAAGAGAGCACGCTAAACGTATAGAGCGGTCAGAGAGAAAACACCTTTTTGGCCATAACTTTGGCAGTTTCGTGCGAAAAAACTTGATTTTTTGTAGAAGCAGTACCCTTTACGGTTGAAATAGCCATGAAACTTTTTGTGCCGAAATGCGGAAACAGTCTCAAATTTTCGCCGACTTTCGATCTAAAAATCTCGGTTGTTTCTGCAAAGCGCGAGCTAGGATCCTCGCATATATCTTAGAAAAAATTAATCTAAATTTGTGCCAAGTTTCATCAAAGTCTGAGCGTCGCACTTGGAGTACCTCAGCTCTGATTGTGAGAAAATTTGAAGCGAAGTCATCAATTTTGTAAAATTTACTCATCTTCAGAATGATCCCGTATTCGCCGGCGGAATGGTTTACAATACGTTCTGTCTGCTCTTGAGCTATTTGTCCATGTGTTTCTTTCAATTCAAAATCTACCGTAAGATGAAGGAGCATTCGCAACGTGCCGTCAACACCACTTGGAAGACGCAACAACGAATTGTGTTGGTCATGGGATTGCAGGTAAAGCGGCTTGATGGTTTTTGAATAAGAGGCGGGCCAAAAAATATTGAGTTTTTCAGGCGACGGCGCAGAAATTTTATCTATTACCTGTGTTTTAAAAACTAAAAAAAACAAGTTTTGAGGGAGACATTTGACCAGCCAAGGGAGACACTTGACCCAACAGTGCACCGTGCAAATTTGTTGAGACTTTTTGGCTCGCCTATTAGTCTGTCGGGGAAATAATGAGCACAATGTCGCTGCGCCGATCGCGTCGCTGAAGTGGAAAGCAATTTGATTCTGCCGCGACACAACTCATTTTATCGGCGGTGGTGCGATTTTTCGATGCGACATTTCCCATTATTTTCCCGACAAACCAATAATATACTAAATCCAACCTTTTATAATGGATATTTCAGGGTATGTATCCAGCGGTTCTGTTCCTGTTCCCAAACCTTTTTCTGACCGCCCTGATTGCCGATGGGATCGAGCTGAAACAACTCTCGTTTGTTGTAAAAGCCTGTGGACAGAGCATGCCTATCATCAACTCTTTAACTGTCCTCCTCCTTATCCCTTCGTACTCCAGGGAAATTTTTGGGGGAAAGGAGAGTTCAAATGATAGGGCGAGCCGTCGACGGTCGACGCTCAAATTTTGACGGAACTTGGAACATGTCTGGAGCTACAGAAGTGGAATTTTTTTCTTCAGGGAATTGGAATACGTGTTTGTAAATAAATATATTATATTTTTTTAGTAAATAACTCGGGTTTTGAACAAAAGTTATTCTTTTGAAACACTAATAAGATTGGCCAAGCCCCGAGGTAATGTATCGTCTATTCTTAATTTGTTTTGCATTTATACATTACACCTTTCATTGTGTGTACATTCCGTTTGGCGTTGAAGTACTCTTGGCCCTGCATGTTTCGTTACAGACAGATTTGTTGGACGGGAGGTTCTCGAACGGCCAATTTTTTTAGAAACTTTAATTAAGGCTCAATCCAATTTTATGAAAGGGTTAAACAAATTAGCGCTATTATTTAGTCTAATCCCGTAATGTTAGACCATTATTTACATTGTAAACAACACACCAACAATGAAAAGAAGAGAAATTAAAGAAAGCAAAGAAGTTGTTGGTCGAACAGAAGCACCGAATAGTAGAGTGTCACAAAGCTGAAGATTTGTTTTTGTATTGACAGCAACTGCCTACCTCTTTGGCGTCCTCAACCTTGTAGGGCTCCGAGCGCTTTAAAAACTGTTCTAAATCGCATTTCTCATCGCAATCGGAAACTTCCGCGGTAATGTCTTGGTAGTGAAATGGGTTATTTGGAGGCCAGAAGAGGACCTGGAAAGATCAATAAGGTTAATTTATGTGCAGTGGGAATTGAGGAAATTTGTGATTTTTTTATAGAGGAACCAACAGCATTCTAAAATGATAAAATTTATTATCTCTGTTAACAAGGCCTGGAGCGAAATGGCAGCCAGTTCATCTTGGCCTAAAATCGTCCATATGACCTTTTGAAATTGTTTGTTATAGACAGGTTTTGTAATACGGAGGCTGGCTGTGCAGATTTCTCATTGTATTTATAAGACTGTCGGAAAAATAATGTGGATTTTTCGCGGTAAAATGCCTTGCCTCGTCTCGCACCAAAGCCCTGCCAGCCGTCGCAAAACGATAATGGGCGATTTCAAGGCTTGAAGCCACATTATTTTCCCGACAAACTGATAATTCTAACAAATTTTTTTTTATAGAAAACCCCCGGGAAAAAATGATTTTGCGGCGCCTTATACTCCACTTACTTTGACATGATGAGTACCATTCTGCTCTCTCAGCTCCACGGTAACAGCAGACGCGTAATCCGGCAGGCCTGGAGCATGATAATTGGTTTGATTGAAGCCGAATGCAGCAAAAAGTCCGGCAATTGTCATGTCGTGCTGAAAATCAGCACAATAATATTGACAAAAAGATAAACAGCAGAAGATTTGATGAATAAAAAACCGAAAACCTACAGCAGAAATAGCATGGTACTTTAGCGGTTTCATCCATCGACAAACCCGTTTCTCGCCTGCAGTCTGATCCTTGAACGGCTTCGTGGCGCAGAGGACTTTGTTCTGAATTTGCTCAACAAAGTGCGACAACAATGGGCCACCGCGAATTTTGGCCAACTCTAGCGACAAGTCCACGCCTTCGTGCTCTTCGTAGCCCACTCCGAACAAGGCTTTGTCGGCTTCGGCTTTAAGTGAGGAGATTTTCTCGTAAATCTCGTCGGTGAATCCTTCCGGCCAGGGCTTGTTGTATCTCTATTCAAAAGTGGAAATTACATGGGTTAAACGTCTATCAGTCTGTCGGGAAAATTATGTGAATTCGTCGTGGGAAAATGTGTTGACTCGTCGCATTTGCGCACCAAATCTCCAGCCGCCGCTAGCCTTCGACGATGGGAAATTGCAAGGCGTTATGAATCCACATTATTTTCCCGACGGACTGATAAACTTTCAAAAATCGTAGTAGACGTCAAGACCAATCGTAAATAGTTAGTAGAAGCTATTCGTTGCAGAAAAGACGACCTCAGCTTACCTTTGTGATGAGCAGATTGTCGTGGACGAGGAACAAGTTGTCAATTCGTAGTTTTATCCCCGATAACTCGCTGATCTCGTCTAGGAATTCCTAAAAACAATGATTATGGCGGAGTCAGCGAGAAGAAAGCCTTTCGGGCCATCTTGCCAGTTTCATGCGGAAAAAATTCATTTTTTGTGGAGACATAAAACATACTCTCTACGGCAGAAATAGGTGCGAAACTTTCCATGCCGAAATTTGCAAAAGAAAGTGTCCTACGTTTCCCATGTTCGGTCGAAAGAAGTTTGTGCAAAGCGCGGTCTGTACGTCACATGTCTTGCAATGTCTTACAATTACTCTATGTTTTTATCATGTCTCGTTGGAAAATGACCGTCGCACTTGGAGTCTTCTCCAAGTCTCGTTTTCTCTATCGGAAAACTTGAATTGTAGTAAAAGAAGTAGTTTACCTTGTTAGATTCCGAGATGTTCGAGTAGTGCGGTGTTGTTTGAAGGAGCTTTGTCAGCGCAACGGTCCGTGGACAATGACGATCAACATTTCCGACCTGAACGGAAAAAAACTTTGTAAAAGCATTTACCAGCCTGTCGGGAATATAATGAGCACCCTGTCGCATCGAAGATCGCATCGCCGCCGAGAAAACCATCGCTGCAAAATCAAATGCTTTTAGCTTCAGCGACGAGGATCGGCGCAGCGACAATGCGCTCATTACTTTCCCGACAGACTGATATCGACCTAACCATGTCCTACATAATCATACGCATAGTCCTCGGTATGCACTGGAACGGGGACAAATCCCGCTGGCCACAACGGATGGTCAGGATAATCTTCATCCGCCTTCGCGTCCTTGTAAAACCCGATCATGTTGGCCATGGCGCTGATCAGTGTGCGGTTCACGTCCGTGCTGCGGACGTGGATCTGGAGAACGATTTGCAAGAATAAACCATAGCTATGGAGAGCGCCCTACCTCTTTGCTGGTGTATCTTTTGCCGAGGAATCTCAATTTTTCAATGTAGCGCGTACGAAGCTTCTCTCCAAGCACAACCTGGTCACTCATTCCTCGCTGCAAAGGTATGATAACTCAGTATCTATTCACAGTGAAGTAAAGGAGAAGTTTTTGGCCTTACCGTCGTCAGTTCGCCACGAGTCCCTGGCCAAGTGTTGTTGTCATTGCGTAGGGAGACCAGTGGAGTTCGATCTCCATGTCGCCACACCTAAAACGAGAGAACTTTAAAAAATTCTGTTTTTTAAATCTCATATCTTAGGACCCGATAAATCTTATTGTTTTTACTAACTAAGCCTTCTCCTAGCCTCCCCCATGCATACAAGGACGAACCGACACCGTAATATTGCTGACCCGAACTGTCGCAGACCCGAAAAATCATAACGCCGAGAGACGGACTTACCGCCTGAAGGAAGACCAACTTGCCCTCCCCAACATCTTTAGTGACCGGGATCAACGGCAAGTGAACGAATTGGTCAATAAAACCATTCGCAAGCTGAAACACCAAAGCGGTCGCAACGAGCCGGAGCAGCATCTTTGACAACCCTTGTTTTTATTGGACTTGCTCTTGGCTTCATTAAAAATGACTCTTTCTTATCAGTTATAAATCAGGAATTAATTAGCGATTACATGCCTTCGGTTCTTGTCATCGGCCACTTATTTGAAGAATGATAAGACGAGACAGCAGCAGGAAAAAACGGCCTAATCCTTCAATTCAACCGTATTATGTGCTATATTCTGTGCTTAGATTTCAAAAATGGAATTTATTATCAGTCTATTGGGAAATAATGAGCACAATGTCGCACCCATAACCAGTTTGCCGCCGAGAAAATGAATTGTTTCGCAACAAAATCAAATTGCTTTTCACTTCAGCGGCGTCGCGATATTATGCTCATTGCTCATTATTTTCCCGACCAACTTTTAGACAAGTTTTGCTGTGTGTGAGATTGTTGCAGTCACTTTCTGTTGTTCTTTCCATACTTAACTCTGTTTTTTTCCAGGTCGCTTACACCACCCCGATCTTATACCGGGATGGAAAGTGTAGTGGGATTGGTTGGCGGAGTATATCATATTTCCGATCAGACAAATCGAGATGAGTTTTGATTACGAGTCCCCGATTCACTTTTTCACTTTCCGCTTCTTTCCGCTTGTTTATCAATGGAAATGAAATACCCCAGTTTCCTTGCCAGATGTTTGAGGAATAGTTTGGCTGATTCTTGACACTCGTTCCGTCTTCCTCCGTGTAGTAGCGTCTCCCAAGCCTACAACTACAAACCGGCGCAATTCATCGTATCGTTGACCCGAGCTGTTGGTGACCCAAAAAAGTCGTAACGCCGTTGAAAAAGAGAAACTTCATGAGAGAAAAACTTGACATGGGACGTTTGTGATGAAAGAACGTCGAGTTTTTTGAACCAAATTTGAAAGAGTTTACATATACATATTAGTCCGTTCGTAAAGTCGCTGGAGTGATTTTTTGGCGTTTGCAATGGCCCAAAAAACTCTATTGAGTAGTGCAAAAAGCAAGAAATTGCACAGTCCAAACTTGTACGTCAACGGTTTATTACGTAAAAAAGAGCGGTGTGAGATCAAAAACAGAATGGTCAAGTGAAAAGTAAATATAAAATTGAACGTCGTAGAACGTTGAGCATGTATTGCATGTCAAAAAGTGTGTGGTAAAATTATTTTCTTATAAAAGTTCAAAACTCAGAATTATTTTAATTTGGCCAAGAGATCGTTGTATTCCTTTGATTGTAAGAACCTAACATACGGATCGTTCTTCAGCAGCTGCTCCACGTGCTTGATGGCGTTGTCGAACAGGTGCTGATCCACTTCCTTTTCCTTCAGCAGCTTCTCCACGCCCTGCCGCACGCCGAACGGCAGGAAGATCTCGTTGTGCGCGCCCTCGCGCAGGTACTGGTTGTAGATGGTCTTGCCCATGTTCTGCATGGCGGCGGATTTGTCCTTCAGCGCGCGGTACTCCACCACCGCCTCCCAGAAGCGCAGGTTCTCCTCGGCGTGGACCGAGAACAGGTATTGGCGGAAATGGTGGCGACCCACCTGGAAAAAGATATAATATTAAATACGGCACTGCGCAGAAAAAGCCAGGCTGTTAGCGATGGCTGAAAAAAGCCTATTGCATGGTGAAAAGAGCAAGAAATTTCCCTGTGCTAACAGGGGAAGTACTTCAAGTGTGACGCTCAGATTTTCTTTAAATTTTGCACACACATCGGGTATGGACTAAATATCAATTCCTGAAAGTTTTAGCTCGCGCTTTGCGGGCGCCGCCGAGATATTGAACGATTTTGGCCGCCGAGAGAGCACGCTCAACGTGGAGAGCGGTCAGAGAGAAAAGCGCTTTTTGGCCATAACTTTGGCAGTTTCGTGCGGAAAAAGTTGATTTTTTGTAGAAACATTATTCTTTACGGTTGAAATAGGCATGAAACTTTTCGTGCCGAAATTCGGCAAAAAGTCCCAAATTTTCGCCGACTTTCGATCTAAAAATCTCGGTTGTTTCTGCAAAGCGCGAGCTAGGATTCCCGCATATATCTTAGAAAAAATTATTCTAAATTTGTGCCAAGTTTCATCAAAATCTGAGCGTCACACTTCAAGTACTTCCCTTGTAAGTGAACTTTTGTTTTCGCAAAGTGCATCTCCCGGAAATGACTCCAGCTACAGTGGGGATCTGATCCAGTGGCAAAAAACGTACCATTTTGCATCCGGCAAGTATCAAAAAATTTGGCAAAATACCTCCATCTCCAAGTGAAAAAACTCCGATTTCAAAAGCGCGCCCGCTCTTTTTGTAGGGGAAAGGGTGCGCCCTTCAAAACGAAGTTTTTTCACTTGGAGAGAGAAGCATTTTGCCACATTTTTGATACTTCCCGAATGCGAAATGGTACGTTTTTTGCCATTGGATCAGGTCCCCCACTGTACTTTGCAAAGGGGCTAGTAACATCATTAAAAAGAGGGCATGTTACAAAAAGAAGGGAACTGGAAAGATTCAAAGATTCTACCGGAACGATTTTTTGGCTAGTGAGTATTACATGGAGAGAGCCGGTAAGAAAAGCATTTTTGACATCACTCAAGATACTAGTCGCGCCATAAAATCCCCATACTTTTGTACTGCACACTTCAATTTCCGCGCGCGACATCCGTGATAAAAGTGTCCGAGTATCAGTCTGTCGGGAAAGTAATGAGCACCGGTCAGGTTGCTGAATTGAAAAGCAATTTAAATGCCGCGACACAATTCATCTTGCGATTTTCGCTGCGACAGTGTGCTTGTTATTTTGCCGACAGAGTGATCGTATGTCCTAGGAAATTCTATTGTTAAAGACCCTTTTCTAGTTACCAGTTTAGTTTCGCCTTTCAACCACTCCATTTCTCAATTTTTCTTTTTTTTCTTTCCAAATTTCCCACCTGATTTCCCAGTAGCGCTTCGAAACTGTGACTCCATCGCTCGGCATAGGACTTGGGCAGCAGCTGCTCCAAATATTCAATGTATATGGCGGAGCGTCGAAAGCGAGGGAACTGGTCGTTCTCCAACAGTTTGGAGATCTCTTTGTGAGCCACTTCCAACGCCTTCGGATTGGGATGTTCGGCTTCGGCGGCTTCTTTCAGCATCTGAAAAGGGTGTGGAATACAGAAAAATAGCTGCAAAACTAATGCGCTATACAATGGGAGAACGGATCCAGTGGCAAAAAACATATCATTTTGAATCCGGGAAGTATCAAAAATGTGGAAAATGCCTCACTCTCCAAGTGAAAAAACTTCGTCTTGGAGGTTCGTACCCTTTTTCCTCACAAAAAGAGCGGGCGCAATTTTAAAATCTGAGTTTTTTCAATTGGAGAGGGAGGTATTTTGCCACATTTTTTGATGCTTCCCGGATACAAAATATTACGTTTTTTCCACTGGATCAGGCCCCCCCCACTGTACCTATTTTCATAAAGTACATGGACATTTTTTTCCTTCTTCGATCTGGATTGTTTTAATCCGTTTTTTTGCCTTTCATGGCCAAAAATAGGACCTCTTCAAAGTCAACAAAAACCCACCGCCATCGCTTTGCTGCTCAGGTTTATGTACGACCCGTAGTTGTTCAACAAGTCCTTGATACCGTCGCGGATGTGTTTCCCGTCCTTGTCCTTCTCCAACTCCTCGATGGCCTCCACGAAGAGCAGGTTCTCCTCGGCCAGGGACTGGAACAGGAAGCAGCGGAAGACCTGCCGCCCGATGGAGTCGCGCAGAATCTCCTCGACGGTGCTGCTGGACCAGGACGCGGCGCGCGGGTACTCGATGCCCACCGTACTCGGCATCTCCGGCGCCGGCCGATCCGAGTGCGCGTTCTTGTCGAACATCGAGGCGGAGGTCTGAAAGGGCGATTTTTTAGAGGGGAAGGATAAAATTGGAGGTGGAAAAAATTAACAAACAAGAGCAAGGAATGTTTTTGTGGTCCTTTAAGGCCATTACAGCCACTTTTGAATCGAGATTTGAGATTTTTATGGGCAGGGAAACGAAATGTCCAAAAAAATTCTTCTTGGTCTACTGTAGGTATTAATAACGATGATAAAAAAATTTAGTGACCTTCTACTATTCCGTTCTGGCGGCTGATGGTCTTTCCCAGTGACAAATTATTATTATAAAAAACACATTATTTTTCCGACAATTTGATGATCAGTTAGTAAAGTCACTGAAGTGATTTTTGGCGTTTACACTGTGCAGAAAAAGTCGGGGTGACAGCCCAAAAAGTCTATTGGATGATACAAAAATCAGCAAATTGCTGCACAGTGCAAGCTGAAATTGTGTTTTCTCATAGTCAAGAAAAAGCAAAAATTACCGCAGCGACTTTGTAAAAGGACTAGTACATGATTACTAATATTTTTTATACTACTACCAACTTTTGCCATCGTTGCATTCGCGGCGGGACATGAAAAAACCTTTTTTTGACATTTCTTTTAGCAAGCCGTTAAAATCTCGGTTCAAAAAAAGCTTCAATGGCCCTTCAACAACCTTAGCCCTTAAACTGCCCATGGCACAACCACAGACGTATTACAGTCAGAAACCCAAAAGTTGGCGTATTTATACCGCTGCAAAGTTAGGGGCAGGCTCAATACTTTGACTACCCAAAGCTGACGACTTTACGATGGTGAATAGACTTCATCAACGTCCCGTTCCATTCACTAACCCCGAATTCTTTATCAAAATAGACTCATTTGACAAGGTAATTTTTACATGGATGATGTGGCTTTGCATACGTAACAAGACGTGGATCTGTTTACAATCTTTATAAGCAGACGTCTCATCATCTACACTAAAGTCAGGGTATACGATGAGAAAAATGTTAACTTTTTAGAAGCTTATGACTTATGACAGGAAATAATAACGTCGAATATTCCGGCGAATGTCAAGTTTCTTGAGGCGTTTGACGTTTCGTTCACACACTGTCGATTGACCACAAGATTTTATTTGCCGATGAAGGTAACTATATGATGAACTTCAGACAAAATTGGTCTTAAAAAGTCAAGAAAATTGTGACCAGAAAGCAAGTATTCTTTCCCAGCTAGCCAAGAAAAAACAGCCAAAAATTTTATCCAAAGTTCTATATGTGACGAAACGCCACCTCGATTAAATCTATGCCAGGAAATAGCTTCTGCTACGCTGGATTTACAACAACGATTTTTCTTTCAAAGCGCAAGCTAAAGACCTTATGCATTGACGCACGGCCGAGGAAGAGCACTCATACAAAATATAAGGAAAATATAATGGTTTTTAATAACGACTTATTACCAATAATGGTCTGGCAAGTTTTGCGGACCTTAAACAAGCGAAGAAGGACCTCAGGTCACCATTTTCTGGCCCCTTAGAATACCTTGTGCACCGATTCCTGTCCGCTCAACGAACAATCGACCAAGAAACATTCACCCTAACTCTATTAAAATATTCTGAAGGCCTCAAACCCCAAACTTTCAAATAACTGTCTCTTTATTCGACCGCTTTTGTAGATTCAATTGCGGAAAGCCACCTGTCAAATTTTGAAACAATCCTTTCGAAATCGTCAAGCCACATGATAACGTAGGAATAATCGAATTTTGGCTTTTTAAATTGCAAACTAAACTGATAAATTACCCGAATTAGCCGGAGAACCGTCGAATCCACATTCATTCTACAATTTTCTTGGCTAAACTAGTCTTTGTAGCTGTTGTGCATTACAACTTTGGCCGCAAATAACCGTCAGAGAAGCGGGCAAAAGCACAGTACTAAATTTTCTCGTTTCGCCAAATGCGGGGCTACAATTTGGTGAGTGAACTTATCTTCTCTTCTCGAAAACAACTACGAAAAGTCGGATGCACTTGATGAAGTCAGGTGCAATTATTCTCCAGAGGATTACCGGGGGGATGTGCGTCGAATTTGAATGGTATGCCCATTGTATAGAGGTGTCTGGACAGGAGAGGAAGTGAATTTCGAAAGGGTTGGAAATTAATTGTGTCTATAGAAAGATGTTAATCAGCTTTCTTACAGAGAAAAAGACGAAAAAAACATTTGACGAGCATTGCCGTAGGCTTAAGGTTGTGAGGTCGGCAGACATGACTGGGGAACAGAGATTGCGATGACCAAAATTTTGACTCCGGCGCTTAACTCCCAGAGCCGGAGCCAAGGCCAAGCTTGCGGCTCTGACTCCCGGCTTCCGTGAAAAATTTAACTGTTTCGTTTTTTTGACAGTATGATTTTTTTAACAGTATGAACTATTGAGCTTTTTGTGGCTTTATTGGAACTCGTTTCTCCAACTGGATCAAGACCCGTGAGTCCAGCATTTGTGTCGCCGGTTTTCAGCTCTATCTCTTTTAGCGTGCTAGAAGGACCTACTAGTCGTGTAAAATAGCCCTAGGGGCCTTCAATCCTCGACCCAAGAGTAGGTCTGACAACAAAAACTAACAGGGGAAGTACTCCAAGTGCGACGCTCAGATTTTGATGAAACTTGGCACAAATTTAGAATTTTTTTCTAACATATATGCGAGAATCCTAGCTCGCGCTTTGCAGAAACAACCGAGATTTTTAGATCGAAAGGCGGCGAAAATTTAGGACTTTTTGCCAAATTTAGGCACGAAAATTTTCATGCATATTTCTACCGTAAAGAATAATGTTTCTAAAAAAGTCAAATTTTTCCGCACGAAACTGCCAAAGTAATGGCCAAAAAGCGTTTTTCTCTCTGACCGCTCTCCACGTTTAGCGTGCTCTCTCGGCGGCAAAAATCGTTCGATATCTCGGCGGCGCCCGCAAAGCGCGAGCTAAACTTTCAGGAATTGATATTTAGTCCATACCCGACGGGTGTGCAAAATTTAAAGAAAATCTGAGCGTCGCACTTCGAGTACTTCCCTTGTAGAGTAAAGTTTCGATTATTGACTAATCAGCGTTTAAAAACCTGCCTTAATTTTCTTCGGCTCCGGTTTGGCTACGTCCTCATTTCTGATTATTATTCCGGTAGCCTTCGCCTTGCCCATCTCGCTATACATACGCCGGTTCGCGAACCTGGAGCTTTGCTATTGGAACTGCCTAGGAACAAAACACTTATATATTCGTTGAAAACGTATCGCACGAATAAATGGGTGATAATTCGTTGTTTTAACAGCGGCGTTTTACCTAGGATGCTAAAAGCTCTCTTTTAGGACCTTTATGGAACCCTCTTTTCCTAATCCTCATATCAGGGGTAATTATGGCATTTTAGAAAGGAGTTGGCAGACAGTAGAGAGTAGAATAGACATTTATTTTTTAAAATTCTATGGAGTTCACAGAGGCAATGCCTCGAGTGCGACAAGACAGATTTGGAATAATTAGCCTAAATTTGACATCCTTTTGCAAGCTTATTGCATGAAAAGTTTTCCCCTTTTTTCAATAGGAAAAGGCGACGTTCCTACAAAAAGATTTTCCTCGCGAAATTGGCAGAGATATATATGGAAAAATCCCTTTCATTATCTGCCGCCTTCCATACCTTGCGCACTCCGTAGAGAATGATGAGTACTAATGGGTCCATAAAATACGTAAAATACAATACTTTCGTCGACATACACGGCACGCTCGCGAAAAGTGCACGTTGCGATTGCAAAAAGAAGTCGCGCCAACCATGGCTATTTTGGCTGTCGCTTTCACCCTGACGTTTTCGCACAGTTCAAGTCGCAAAAATCGCTCGCGACTTTACGAACGAACTAGTTTCATAAATCATTTTTTGTTTGGAGTAACGGAAAAGTATTTATTTACAAATCCAATCTGGACAGGTGCCAATTAGAACAAAACCCAATTCAAAACACCCTAGAAACCACCCCAAAATTCCCCAATGATATCACCCCACCCCTCCACACTCCTCAACCGCCATATGTGGCAAGAGAGAACAAAAGTAAAGTCAAGAAGTTAATGGAGTGAATTGCAAGGCCCCCTCTCTCTTCTCGCCACTTCACCTGCTGCTAATCGGGGCCGGGTAAAATAAAAAAAATTCTTATTTTCCGGACTCTCGATAATCCGATAATCGCCCCCTAGCACATTATATTTTTTGCTTATTATTTCATTAGACACCCGTATTTGAGTGATGGTAAATGGAAGGTAATTATTAGAGGAATTTGGGTTGGAAAATGAGGGGGAAGCGGGTCGAAAAAGTTGATTGGAAAGTAGGCATTTACAATGGGAGATGCCCTCCATTGCGATGCTCAGATTTTCTTCAAATCCTGCACACATTTGGGTATAGGCCATACATCAATTCCCGAAAGTTTTAGCTCGCGCTTTGCAGGGGCAGCCGAGATTTGGAACGATCTTTGACGCCGAGAGAGACCGTAGAGGGCAATATCTCCACAAAAAATCAGTTTTCTCAGCGCTACGTTACGGCAAAAAATGTGTTCTTTCCGACCGCTCTCCGCGTTTCGCGTACTCTCTCGCCCATAAAGATCGTTGAATATCTCGGCTGATCTTGCAAATCGTGAGCTAAATTTTTCAGGAATTGTTATGTGACCTATGTCCATAGCGTGCCCAAAATTTAAAGAAAATCTGAGAGTCGCATTTGAGGTATATACTGTATATGATGCTTGCCTCGTTAGACAAAAATAAACCTCCCTACAACAAAAATGCTTTATAAAAATTTTTTTTTGATCTCTCGTAATTCGTTATACCGAATTTATCATTGTATTCGAAAGTCTCCAAAATCTTCTCAAACTCCAAACCCACCATGATGTGCTGTTTGCTCAAGTCGATCTTCCGTTCCCTCGGCTTGTACTCGAATGCCACCGGCTTGAGGACGTTCTCGTCGTTTATCGAACTCTCAGCCAGCCGCTTCTCCAAGTCACTCGTGGAATGGCTCCGTCCGTCCTCTGAATTCGACGCAGTCGGCGGCGGAGTTTTGGAACCCGAAGTCTGCTCTTCGTCCGATCGGGAGCTGGAAAATTGAAGTCAAATTTGTCTGAGGAGGTATAAAAGCTATACCAGTGTAGACAATAACAAAAGATTTAAAATACTGTTTGCCGGGGGTGAAGAAAAAATGGCAAGTGGGGGTAATTTACCTAGGTAATTTAACAATTTTTTACAATGGTGTCCCTTGATCTTTGAGAAAGTTTTGTCAGCTTCGCGGTCAATTGCGATCAACATTTTTGACCTGAACAAGAAAAAAACTTTACAAAGCTATTTTTGTCTCACATCAAGCACCACAAAATAAATTGTTTCAGGGCAAAATAAAACTGCTTTTCCCTTCAGCAAAACGGCTGGAGCAGTGGCAAAGGTAAGGTACTCATTATTTTTCCAACAGAATGATAGATAGTATGTCTTAGAAAATTCTATTTTTCTCCCACAGAATGATGGCATGCCCTAGAAAATTCTATAAGACAAAGGATTCATGATGATCTGTTTATGATCTTAAAGAGTAAAGATAAAAATTCAGACGGAAATCTTTAGCATCGCATGTGATAAAGGAGAATAATGCAACTAGATCTAATTTACGTTCATTTCCAAAAAAATTTGGGCTCAGCCGGTGATCGAAACCGGGGCCTCTCGCACCCAAAGCGAGAATCATACCACTAGACCACTGAGCCGCGTTGTCTGCACCGCGCACACGAGATGTCGCTTTAGGGGATAGAGATAAAAAAGGCGAAAAATCATGTTCGTTTTTCTCTCTCAAAACCCCCTTTTTTTTTTTTTTTTCTCTCTCGAAAACCCCCTCTTTTATCTCTATCTCCTGAGGCGATATCTCACGCGTGCGGCGAAGAAAGCGCGGCTCAGTGGTCTAGTGGTATGATTCTCGCTTTGGGTGCGAGAGGCCCCGGTTTCGATCACCGGCTGAGCCCAAAACTTTTGGCAAAATCATGTTCGTTTTTCTCTTTTACAAGACCACAACTAAACCATTCGCCGGGCAGAGCCGGGCCCATAATTACGTCCAGGTCAAGTTTAGAGAACAACAGAAAGAACGTTTGCTTCAGAAGGCGGGAGTTGGCTTAGAGCATATGCCCAGCCTTGGAAGGTCTATTACAAAAAATGTAATGACCAATTTCCCAGACCTCCCGCCATAACAATCCCATGACAAATTTTTTCAACCCGGAAATGGAGCAGTGAGCGGCCAGCCAAAGCCTCCTCAATTCTCACACCTAAACTAAGCATGGCTGGAAACCGGGCCAGCCCGGCCCGGCCCGGCCCGGCCCGCAGGCCCGGGCTTAAATCTCCAAGCCCGGCCCGGGCCCGGGCTTGGGAAATTTGGAAAGCCCGGCCCGGTTCGGCCCGGAAAATTTTATACTAGGTTGGAAAGAAAGAAAGCGGGAAATGAAAAGAAAATTATGGCAAATTTTCGCAAGATGTAAAGAAAAATTTAGCAAAACCTAGGTACATACGGTCACTTTACGTTCGCTATCAGCATTGTGTTCGAAAAAATGAAAAATCCTATCGTAAAAGCTTATTTTTCCTTTTTTCCGGGCAAAACTCAAATTTCAAAAAAACCGGGCCGGCCCGGGCCGGGCCGGGCCTGAAAATCGAAGCCCGGAGTCGGGCCGAGAAATTAGTCGGCCCGGCCCGGGCCGGAAAATTTTGCAAAGCCCGGCCCGGAGCCATGCCTAACCTAAACCCCAAAAAAACTAGCTAAATTCAACCCCTTATAAACCACTTCAATGTCGCTCCTTCTATAGTTGCTACAGCTTTAAAACAGCCCTAATAAACCTGGTCCAAACACTCTGAAGTCGCCGTATTACTGGATAAACAATGGGCCTAATCAGTTTACAGACGGCCAAAAACAAAATTCCCAGTTGATTACACGGGAAGTCAATGGCATAATCAAGATGAATATGGCCATTAAACCCCAAATTTTTGTGAGATTTCTTTGGAAATTCTTATTTTGGAAAGCATTACTTTCAAATTGATGAAGGTTTTTGACGAATTACGTAAAATGAAGTCAGAAGTTGCTTAAAAATGTATTAATTTTGTACTAATGTATTAATTTTGTACTAACTTCATCAAAAGTTTTGGGCTCAGCCGGTGATCGAAACCGGGGCCTCTCGCACCCAAAGCGAGAATCATACCACTAGACCACTGAGCCGCGATTCCTTCACCACGCGCACGAGATGTCGCCTAAGGGGATAAAGATAAAAAAAAGGGTTTCATGAAGCTGACAGAGAAAAACAAACATGATTTTTCGCCTTTTTTATCTCTATCCCCTAAAGCGACATCTCATGCGCGCAGCGAAAGAAATCGCGGCTCAGTGGTCTAGTGGTATGATTCTCGCTTTGGGTGCGAGAGGCCCCGGTTTCGATCACCGGCTGAGCCCAAATCTGTTATTTTGGGGATAAATTTGGGCCCACCCATACTTATTTGCATTATTCTCCTTTATTATTCATGTTATGGTAAAAATTTCCGTTTCAGTCTTTAGCTTTACTCTTTTGGGAATAAGCAGATTATCCGCTTATTAGATTACCCCTGTGTGCCTAGGGATAAGCCCGGTTTATATTATAAACTGGTAGCTCCCATAAAATTGTAAGGAATTGGTGCCGCAGTTAACTGTTTGTAGTCAAAGTTACATATATAAAATCCCTTGGCTTGTTTCACCATGTTGTTCTTTACTTTTTTCTTATGGTTTCAACCTAGGCCACATATCAATTCCCGAAAATTTTAGCTTGTGATTTGCAGGGAGAGTCAAGGTATTCAACGATCTTTGCGGCCGAGAGAGTGCACAAAAGGCGGAAAGCCACAGAGAAAAACTTTTTTTGACCATATCTTTGCCAGTTTCGCATGGAAAAAACTTATTTTTTGTGGATGCATTACACTTCAGAATACAAATATATAACCATGAAGCTTTTCAGGCCAAAATCCACATAAAAGTTTCGCATTTTTGACCAAAATTCGGCCCAAAAATTTCTTGTTTTCGCAATGCGCTGTGCAGGAATCTGACAGAAGTTTTCTAAGAAAATAATCTAAACTTATGACATGTAAAAATGGGGGAAATTCCTCAGTTAGTCGATCTGTCATTTGCAAAAGAGTATATGAATGAGAAGCCAGGAACAAATACAGGGTCTTCCAAAAAACGTGAAGGAATGTCGAAGGCCATATCTTCCGGCGGAGGCGGCGCAGAGACTTTGTTTTTGAAATATGTATTTTTAAGCAACATTAATTTTGGTCTATAAAACAACAAGATTCTAAAGTGCGAACTGAGGTCGCTACGGCCTTCTGAAGTAGGTGCATTTCCACTCCGACTATCCTTCACGTTTTTTGTAAAACCCTGTCGATGCATGAGAATGCCACAAACATTTTTACAGCAATATCTTTATGAATAGAGGTTGTAAAAAATACAATCTTATAATTAGCATTTTATAGTTCACAAATGCTTCAAAAGTTATTCATTCTACCCTGAGGTAGAATGATGGTATTTCACACCCCCACTCTCCTAAAATAGCCACTGTTGGCGTTATTGTAGTCATAGGTTCGTAATAACAATAACATCAAAGAGACTTTCCAAGCATATCCGGAATTCCTTTTCTCACCAGATTTTATAATGACGTCATCCTCCCCAATCATCCCCAGTTATCATCCCCTTCCCCGAAATGACCAAAAATCTCGTCGTATAACATGTCGCCCCTCCCAAAAATGCAAATCCGCGCAATTACGAGCGCTCAGAATGACATATCATTAGGCGCCGTGAGAAGGAGAAATTTCGTCTCAGGCCGCCCGACGTTCTACGTGGTTACCCCGACAACCCCTCCGGGCGTATTACTCTCAATTCTACCCCTTTTTCTTTCCCACATTCTAAGCGCCGCCACGACATGTTGATTGCGTGCGGGCCGGGCGCCCGAATGTGTTATCGATGAACATTGTATTGGTATTTTCGGAAAGTGCATCAACTTTTTTTACGATTTCCACAGTGCAATCTCTGATGCACAGTGCAAAAACTGAAAATGCACGGTGCAAAGTGGAGGGTTTCGCCGAGCCACGAAGAGTCTACGTACTTTATGAAAATAGTAAAATCAGTCTGTCGGGAAAATAATGAGCATAATGTCAAAGCCAAAATCGCATCGCCGCCGAGAAAATGAACTGTGTCGCGACAAAATCAAATTTCTTTTCACTTTAACAACACGATTGGCACAGATGTCGCACACAAAAATTCGGATAATTGCCTGAAGAAAAATTCCCCTCGTTTGTGGAAAAATGGGAATTTGCAAAAAAGCAGAGAACATTTTTTATGGTAAGTAAGGGTATATACTCGTCCATTTTTAAAGCCGGAGAAATCTCTGCGACAAGCACAGTACAGAAAAGTCAGGACAGCCAAAAAAAGTCAGCATTCTACCGAAAATAATTTCCTTTCCGTTAGAAGCTTTCATCAGTCTGTCGGGAAAATAATGCGGATTTTTTCGCAGAAAAATGTATCGCCACGCCGTAGTCGAGATATCCGTCCCCAGTCGCGGCTACCGTCTCAAAACGATGATGGGGGATTTTCACGGCGCGACAAATCCACATTATTTTCCCGACAGACTGATACATCAGATGTAACAAACCAAGTTCGCTTTTGAAATTTCGATGGTTTATACGATCATTCTGTCGAGACAATAATGAACAAAATTGTCGCCGATCACGTCGCTGGAATGAAAAGCAATTTGATTTTGTCGCGAGACAATTCGCTTTCCCGGCGGTGATGTGACTTTCGATGCGACAGAGTGCTCATTATTTTCCCGACGGACTGTTATAAAACATGTTTTTTTTCACTTCTTTCTAAATTTAAAAATATAGGACTATCAGTCGGCACGTACTTAAATACGGATACTTTTCAAAAAGCAACAAAAAAACTCACCGAAAGTACTCGGAGACAAAGGTCTGCTCACCCACGAAGGACCTCCACATCATCCAGCCATTCAATTCTCTGTCAACAGCGGCGAGTTTGCGAGTGTCTGCCGATTGCGTGATGTGTCATGACAGGGGATCTGGAAAATCGAGAGTTGGGAATGACGTACGAATTTTGGCATCCCCGAAACACCTGCGCATTCCAAATTGGGTTGTGGAAAAGTCAGAAGCGTCAGTGGAAATTTCACTGTAAAGTGCAATAAACAAGAGTGATTCGCGGTAGACGGAATAGGTAATCATTTACATAGTAATGAGGTACTGGTCGGTAGTCGCTGAATGATTTCGGCGACGCACTGTGCGAAGACAGAAGTAAGATTTGCGCTGGGGAGTTGTCGGTTTTTGCACTGTGCAAATCGTTTTTTTTTTTGGGCTGTCGCTTGCACCTTGGCTTTCTTTCAACAGTGGAAGCGACAGAAATCATTCCAGCGACTTTCCGGACGGGCTAGGCCGTCGGGAAAGCTCTCGGTATTATCCAAAAAAGGCAAGGAACAGAGCAAAAAACTCTTGGCCATGTGAACTAGCCCTTCCGAAAAGTCCCCGGACCATTTTTGGCTCTTGAACTGTGCGAAGAAATCGAGGAACAGCCGAACTGAATGATGCAAAAAGGAAGAAATTGCGCAGTGCAAAGAGAACTATTGTTTTCTCTCGGTCCGTGTCAACGATGTAAGCCCGGCGACTTTCCGGAAGGACGAATGTTTAATACATAGTGTATCAGTCTGACTAAAAGGTCTTAATTTACATGTTTAGTTAGTCCAAAAAAAGCAATGGCAGAGAGGCGCAAAAAATAGAAAAAAACCCATAATGCAAATTGTCATAACTATATGTCTCGAGTAGTAGTATTTTCATAAAGTTCACAGACGTTTTTCCGCTTTTTATCGCAAACGCACTATGCATTTTCCCTTTCTCCGCCCGTTCCAACGTACAATTTCAATTCTAATCGGCGCCTCTCAACAAACAAAATACAATATTGTATTCTAGCCATACTACTCCAAAACCACTTGAAACTGACTTTCAAAAGGAAAAAAATTAGTCATTTTCAGGTCCCACGCGGTGAGAAATTGAATTGATATTCAGTATTAGACGTATGTCGGAAATAATAATAATAAGCACCTTGTTGTATCGAAAATCGCATCGCCGCAGAGAAAATGAATAGTGTCGTGGCAAAATCGAATTGCTTTTCACTTGAACGACGCTTGACATTGTGCTCATTATTTTGTCGACAGACCGATAAATCATGTCAATGGCATGACTCCTGGCCGGTTTTTCCTAAATTTTTCGGACCGGCCCGGGCCCAGTTTTTTTTTTTTTTTTTTTTTTGACAAGGAAAGTACTTTTATGGAGGCTCCTACTTTTTGACGGGACATATCTCAAAAAATCAGAAAAATGTGCTGATCAAGGATATATAAATCTTAGCTGCCCATTTTAGGTTTTTAGGGGTGAAAATGCCCAAAAACTGGCTTAATTTCCCTACAAAAAGCGAGGGCATTCGAAACGATAAAAAGCGCAGTCGGTCTCTGTGGCCGAGTAGTTAGTGCCGTAGTCTGGGAATCAAGAGGGAGGACACCGCACGGGTTCGATGTCCCTTTTGGGCTGAATCAACTTTTTTGAAGATGAAGGTCGGAAAAATAAATTTTTGTGCCAAGACTGATCTATTACGTCTTAAAAACTCAATAAGCGTCATTTTGAGCCAAAATAAAATTGCAAACCTGGAAAAATAAAGTGGGGTTTATATAGGACTCTAAGTCAACTTCCGATTGAGCTTTCACCCCTAAAAACCCAAAATGGGCAGCTAATATTTATACATTACATCCTTGATCAGCGCATTTTTTCTGATTTTTTGAGATATGTCCCGTCAGAAAGTAGGAGCCCCCATAAAAGTACTTTCCTTGTGAGAATTAGCAAAACAATGGCGAATTTTTCGAAAAAATAAGGCCAAAAAATGTGTGGTCCACCTCAGAAAAGGGAAATATTACCTTGGCCCCCACTACAGCCATCCCTATCCCCAACCGCATAATGTAACGACATGTCAAGGCGTTTCGACTCATCTAACACAAGTATAACACTTTTCCGGTTATTTTTACATTCCCTCAAACCCAAAATTACGCCCGAAAAGCAAATAATTATGGCGTTTATCGTATTACCATAGAAATCAGGGCTGCTGACAGGGGAGTGCAGAAAGTATAAGAAACAAAATGTCTTGTTATTATGTAGAGACATAAAAAGTTTCAGGTTTTAAGGAGTAATGTTCGGCGAAAAGGAATATGACTTTCAGTCTGTCGGGAAAATAATGAGCAATCTATCGCGATAAAAATCGCATTGCTGCTTACGAAGTGAGGAAATTAAGGTTGCGGCAAAATGAAGTTGCTTTTCACTTCCGACACATTGTGCTCATTATTTTCCCGACGGACTGAGATATGAAAATTTTCGTTAAACCTCTGTACTACGAACAAAAAGTCCAAAAGGTTTGCTAGTTATATATAAAAAGACTTGTACGACGTTTCATCTATTACAGTGAGGGACCGGATCCAGTGGCAAAAAACGTCTCCAAACCCTTCTCTTCACTAACAAGGGAAGTACCCCAAGTGCGACGCTCAGATTTTCTTCAAATTTTGCACACACGTCGGGAATGGACTAAATATGAATTCCTGAAAGTTCTAGCTCGCGCTTTGCGGGCGCCGCCGAGATATCGAACGATTTTTGCCGCCGAGAGAGCACGCTAACCGTGGAGGGCGGTCAGAGAGAAAAGCGCTTTTTGGCCATAACTTTGGCAGTTTCGTGCGGAAAAATTTGATTTTTTGTAGAAACATTATCCTTTACGATAGAAATGGGCATGAAAATTTTGGTGCAAAAATCCCGCAAAAAGTGTCAAATTTTCGCCCACTTTCGATCTACAAATCTCGGTTGTTTCTGCAAACCGCGAAGTAGGATTCTCGCATATATTTTAGAAAAAATTATTCTAAATTTGTGCCAAGTTTCATCAAAATCTGAGCGTCGCACTTGGGGTACTTCCCCTGTAAGCTAAAAAACTCCGCTTTGAAAAGCCCGCCTTGAAGGAAAGGGCGCGCTTTTCAAAACGGAGTTTTTTAGCTTACAATTAGAGAAGGGAAGGGTTTGGAGACGTTTTGGTCCCTTCCGGGATGCAAAGTGGGACGTTTTTTGCCACTGGATGCGGTCCCTCACTGTATACAATGGCAGACCTGACCCAATGCCAAGAAACGTACCACTTTGCATCCGGGAAGTATCAAAAACGCATCAAATTACCTCCCTTTCCAAAAAAAGAAACTCCGTTTTGAAGGACGCCCTGAAAAAAAAACTCGGCGTGCTCTTGAAATCGGAGTTTTTTACTTGGAGAGGGAGGTATTTTTCTACGTTTTTGTTACTTCCCGGATGTAAAATTGCACGGTTTCTGTCACTGTATCAGGTCTATATTGGACCACTGTAGGCTGACTTTTGAGACTTTAGGTTTTGTCCGGTATAGACAGGTTTTGTTGTGCGGGAGTTCGCTTTAGGATCCTGTGTATGCTAAAGAGCCTCATTTTTTTATTTTTTGAAGTGTAATATGAACCTTAAGTGGCTTAACGGCACCAAAAGGGAGTTCTATTAATAAAAAAAAATAATTTTTCTGCTTTTTTTGAAAAGTTAATAATCAAAAGTTGCGTGCGACACGAAAGTGGAACTAGTTCCTTGATTGTAATTGTGTTATTTATAATATATACATGCACAATCACACACGAAATTATTATATTACAACGAAAGGGGAACCTCGAGTTCGGTAAAATTCGGAGAAACAAAGAAAACCCCCAAAAAATTGGAAAAAACTTGCAATCAGTCTGTCGGGAAAATAATGAGCACTATGTCGCTGCGCCGCACGGCAACCCAAGATTGAACAAAAATGTCTCCCGCCCATTTTTTAATTTCGTCCAAAAAAAGTGTCAAAATTCACAAAAGAAATAAAATAATTCCGAGAAAAATATTTTTCGGTCGGAAAACCACACGAAAAATTCATTTTTGACATTTCGTTTGAATTCAACCGATACTAGGTGGGCGAAGTGCCGAAACGAGGCGGGAGACTCCCTGGGTTGCCGTGCGCCGTTCGTGTCACTGAAGTGAGAAGCGATTTGATTTTTTGCGACACAATTCATTTTCTCAGCGGCAGGGGTGGTCAGCGGACCCTATTTTTCCGATTTTCGGCCCGCGGCCCGGCCAGTCTAATTACGCGGCCCGGCCCGGCCCGACTAGTCTTTTTCCAGGCCCGGCCCGTTTATAGAGGGTTCTGCGAACTGCGCCCAAGCTTGGGATATAAACTTAGGCAAAAAAGGCGTTGATCTAGCTAGTAAAGGATCAACGTGATAGTTTTGTGGTTCTATAATGGAACTATAGACTTGTAAACGTTTTAGAACTTGAGAAACAGCAACTATAACAACATCAATTAATTTTCCCGGCGCGAAAACAATGAATGCCAGCGGTTTGGCATTGTAATTTAGACGGGCCGGGCCGGAAAAAAACCCCAGGCCCGCGGCCCGGCCCGGCCCGTGACAGGCCCGGCCCGTTTGTCAATTTCCATCTTTGAGCCCGGCCGCCGGCCCACTGACCACCCCTGCTCAGCGGCGATGCGATTTTCAATACAGGGTGCTAATTATTTTTCCGACAGACTGATACGGGGATTTTAAACGGATGTAAAAACAAACCTTCGCAGAATGAGTTGTAAGGGACGCAAAAATTTTCCTGTGATAAAAAAAGGGGTTTTTTGTCACTGAAATCTGTATACAACAAACTCCCGCACAACGAAGTCGATCTTAACTGAACAATTTCAGAGACTTCAAGAGTCAATTTTAGCCCGAAACCTCTGTGTTAAGGGGGTCAATGTTTGACATGTTTCAGTCTGTCGGGAAAATAATGAGCCCAATATTGTTGCGCCGATTGCGCCGCTGAAGTGAAAAAAATTTGATTTTGCCCCGACACAATTCATTTTCTCGGCGGCGATGCGATCTTCGATGCGACAGAGTGCACATTATTTTCCCGACAGACTCATATCAGTCTTTCGGGAAAATATCGGTCTGTCGGGAAAAAAACGGCGGATCGTCGCGCCTCGGAATCGCCCATCATCGCTTTGCGACTGCAAGCGGCGGCTTGGGATTTGGTGCGCGACAGCGGCGAGGCGAGACATTTTGATGCGACGATCCGCCGTTATTTTTCCGACAGACTGATAACGGCGGATCGTCGCCGAAAAATGCCTCGCCTCGCCTCTCCAAATCTTCAGCTTCGGCAGCCGTCGCAAAGCGATGACGGGCGATTCCGAGGCGCGATGATCCGCCGTTATTTTCCCGACAGACTCATAGTGCTGATAATTTGACCTAAAATCGGATTTTTGATTTGTCTGATAATTTGACAAATAAAAAAATAACTGTTCGTTGTAGACAGGTTTTCTTGTGTAGGGGTTCCTTGCAGACCGCTTCGACTGTGTCATAATAAAATCGTTTATCAACCTTTTTCCTTATCCTATATTAGCTAGCCAGTGTTCATGGCAGACAGGTAAAACAGAAGGTATGCCTCTAGCAAAATACAATGTCCCCACCGCGCTGCCCGCGTACTTCCTGCTAATTAGCGTCGTTCGGGACACGCAAAGCGAGGTGTTGGCGTAATTACTTGTGAGAACGAAAAAAATTGTGCACCCTTCGGGAAAAATGCATTTGGTATAAACAAAAAAAAGGGCCTGGGAATGTTGTCCGTACGTGCGGCTCACAAAATTAGCAGTTGTAAAATATGAAGTGTGACGTCGACTGAAAATCTGACCTCGCATCGAGACAAGAGCTCTTCAAATTGGCTTCTTGTCTGGCTTTTTGTCCCAAGATTCACCATTAAAAATTATCAACGCGCTTGAGGTCAACCTATGTAAGAAATTGGAAGAAACCATGTACTTCTCCTTTCGTAAAATCGCTGGAGGAATTTTCGGCGTTCGCGCCGCGCAGAAAACGTAATAAGAGCCATAGGCTATTGTTGCACTGTACGAAAAGCTGAAAATTGCACCGAAAAAAGTGAACTTTTGCCTGTCGCACAGGACTATTAGGTTGATGCATAATTAGCCGGCGTCTTTTCAACAAATTGCGCGATCGACTTTGTTGTTGTCGGACAGTCGTGACACGCATTTTTTTAACAAACTAGAGAAGATTATTTCTATGAAAAAAAAAATAACAAACGCCAATTTTCACTAACAAAAAACTCGCCAATATAAACGACGGATATTTATGCATCAACCTAATATAATACCGAAAAAGCCCATTGCATAATGCAAAAAAAACTAAAAACTGCACATCCTGTTTGATGAGAAATAGTTCACTTTTCACTGTGCAATTTTCGGCTTTGTGCACATCGTCATAGCCTTCGGCTGTCGGTCGAACATTCACGTTTTTCTGCATACGGAGAGCGGTCAAAGAAAAACCCATTTTTTGCACAACCTCCGCAAGTTTCAGGCAGAAGCAACTAATTTTTGTTAGTAACGTTGCACATCAACCACAAACAGAATGCCAAGATTTTTGGCATTCGGTTTTTTAAGGGTCTCTAATGTTTTAGCTTACTGTGCAGTGGGTAATGAACAAAATAACATGAACCTGCGATTAAAACATTGCCAAGGACCCATATTTTTTTAATTAATAGATTTTGGCGTTCTTCGGCCACCAGGTTAGCGACAAACGGCCGGAGAAAATCGAATTTTTGCAAACTTTGCGGCCGAATAACTTGTCTAAAACGATTGAAACACGGAAAGTGATTGCAACGATCTTCAGAATATTGTATTCTAAGGTAGTATGCGAAGTTTGAAGCAAATCGGACTGATAATAAAAAAGTAGATGCGATTTTAAGCTTTTTACCTTATGGATTATATTACTTTAGGCAACTTTTAATGTCCGACAGCGTTAAATAGTCTAATTAATTAACTATATTATCTCATAACATCCTGTTAAGGGAGATTAATTGCAAAAATTTTAACTCTTAGGCCGAAAAAAAGTTTTACCTTATAGTAGCATACCTGATCTTATACCAAAAATAATGAAAGTTTATGACTGAAGTAAAAGTTTTAAAACTATCTATGTGAGTTGAGATGGCTTTCTAAGGCTATACTGAGCTTTTGGAGTTGGTTTCAACTTCGCTGCGCCAATTTCAAAAATGGCCAATATCACCTAAAACAAGGTTCTTAGAACAGCTTCGAAACTGGTGCGGATGCCACTAATTATGCTCTTATTGTCTTTTTAGATCATAGTGGACCTAGCTGAGTCAAAATTTACCGATTTTTAAAATATTATTTTAGTCACCTAAATATCAGTTTTTTTGGAATTTTGAGTGAGTAAGCTAGTATATGACACAGGATTGCTTATAGTTCTCTAAAACTACTCTAATTATGCTCACAGAAAAAAGAATTTAGGCAACTGCTTCGTTACGAAACGATTTAGTAGCAAAAGATGTCTAAAATAAGGTTTTCAAATCTACTACTACTACTATTTTTTGGTCAGTCCGACTCGTTTCCAATTTTTAATTTGAGCTACCCTTGGGCGCCCTAACAAAGTTATGCAAACAGTTTTCCCGATTTGAAACTTTTTTTTTTGTGGTTGATGTGCGTTGCCCTTAAAATTGAGAAGGAAACGCTTCGTCAGCTTTTTGTCGCAAGCCTTATTCGAAAATTGAACTTGAAAATTTCCCTCTAGACTTTACCTCAAACCCTCCATTTGTGACGGAAGTTTAAGTCCACCTCCTCTTTTGCTTTTTCGATCTGACCTCCCTCAAAGCTTCAATAGTAACAAAAAAATGAAGAAAACGTGTCACAAGATACCCACGCCGACTTAATTATATTGTAATAGAAAAGGAGTCCAAACATCAAGCTTCAATTCTCAAAAAAAAGCCTGTAAAATCGACGTGGGAGTACTTGAATTCTCCCTGCTATTCGTATTTTCGTACGTTCCGAAGACGTATGATTTTCCCCCCTTGTATCACGAAAAAAGTCTACAAACTTTATGGAAATGCGAAAATATCAGTCTTTCGGGAAAATAATGAGCATGTCGCTACATCGGTCGTGTCGCTGGAGTAAAAATAAATTTGACTTTGCTGCGACACAATACATTTTCTTCGCGACGATACAATTTTCGATGCGACAGAATGCTCATTATTTTCCCGACAAACTGATACTATATCTAATTTGTGGAGCCTCAAAGAAGAGAAAGAAAAATATTTAATATTTGTTCCTCACATCGGAAATCCCACGGCAGTACATACATATATTACAATTCATGTGGAGAGAACGGTTGTAGTTTTCATAAAAGCGGCCGCTTGTACAAAGAACAGCTAAATGTGACAGGACGTGCGGACGAACTCGTCTTTATTCTTTTTCGGCGCAGCCACAATGTGCTCAATATTTTTCCGACTGTTGAAGTCCCCTTTCAAACTGACCTAATCACCGAACACAACGCCGAGATTCAACAAATGATGATTTACAAGCAAATATGAACTGGCCGGGCCGAACTATTCGGGGCCTGGCCACAACTTTTGGCGGGCCTGGCCCCAGAGCCATGTCCAGGTAGCCTCTATGAGACACAAAAGAAATCATTATACCTGTTAAAAGATAATCGTAAAGGCGCTAGTGTTTGGTTGTTTCCCCTCCTCTCTAGCTCCCTCAAACGTGCTCAGTATAAAAGTTTCTTCGAGAGGGGCAGAGATCTTCTTAGGGGTTAAATTTTCGATCATGATGTCCATTGGGTCGTCTACAGTGGCGGACCAAATCCAGTGGCAAGAAACGTTCCATTTTGCATCCGAGAAGTATTAAAAAATGTAGCAAAATACCTCCCTCTCCAACTAAAAAACTCCATTTTGAAGACTTCCCTCACGAATAGAGCCGGCGCTCTTTTGAAATCGTATTTTTTTCACTGGGAGAGATACCTCCCGGATGCAAAATGGTACGGTTTTGTGCTCACCGTAGTTGTTTCTTTTTGACCTGATCGCCACTTTTGGATTTGTTGAAGTCCCCTAACTTTTGTTAGTCACCCCACACAAGACCAAGATTCAAGGAATAATGATTTATTTGCTCTTGTCCCAATGGTCGATTGTTCTTCCTCCTCGCTACCGGCAGACTGTGATAAACACCTAGTAAAAAGTGGTGAGAAGTCGATTGAAAACTTCCATCACCTGAAACATGAATGTGTTTTGTGATTTTGTCAATTCGTATTCGTTAGTTTTTATGTAGTATTGTAAATTCTTTGACTACTCTGTAAATGTTACCTAATTGCGATTTTTTGTGTGTTTGTTGTCGAAACCCCTCTTTTTATAATAAGAAAGACGTGAAGACTCGGGTAATTGGCTAAAATAAACGTCGACTGCTCGAATAAATGGTTTGGCGGTACTTAAAATCAACAATTCCCTGGGTTAGGTTGCCGGTGGACGGGTTTACGGTAAGGCAGAGTGCAGAAAACCTCTGTACAACGAATCTCTAGATTTCGTCTTATGGGAGTTTGTTTCGCAGAGCTTTTACTGTGTTGTTTTAGATCATCTTGGAGAGTGGTGTGAAACAAGAGTATTATTTTCAAAGGAACAAGACAGCAAAGATCAGAAATGGGTGACTTTTTCCAATGTCTCTGCGGAATGCATGTTCATGTAAGTTTTTTTGCGAATTAGACCAGAAATTGCCACGGCCAAAATTTCGGCTCTGGCTCCGGCCCTTACCTCCCAGAGTCGGAGCCGAGGCCAAATTTGCGGCTCCGGCTCCCGTGCAAAATTCAAAAAGGTGGGCGGCTCCCGTACAAACATCTTTTAAAAAATATTTTTGATCCAGTGAAAAAAAGTACCATTTTGCATCCGGGAAGTATAAAAAATGTGGCAAAATGTTTCCCTCTCCAACTGAAAAACTCCGATTTCAAAAGCGCGCCCTTTCTTTTTTGTGAGGGAAAGGGAAGGCGCCCTTCAAAACAAAGTTTTTTTTACTTGGAAAGGGAAACATTTTGCCACATTTTTCGTACTTCACAGATGCAAAATGGTGCGTTGTTTGCCATTGGATCAGGTCCTGTAGTAAGATCACGAAATTTTTCTTTTCTTACCGTTGAGAAGTCTGGCTCCGACTTTGGGCTCCGGAGCCGTGGCAAATTCTCTGATTCCGACCGCTGAAATTGTCAGACTGGGAAATATGATAATTTACCACGACCAACTTTCAGTTGGCTACATTTATTTTCGGCCTGGTGTTCGTGGTGATCTCGCCGATCATGGCGACTTGCGGCTTCTTCCTTTCAATGTACGCCCTCCTTGTGAGTCGGGCCATCGGCACATTGGCGAATGTCTTCATTTTGCTTGGAAATCATCTGCCCATGGGCCTGTTCTACATGATCTACTTGATCTCTAACGTACGTTCGAAGACTTTGTCGCAAAAAACGCCTCATTTCCCTCGTTCTTTCCTTTAAACCTGCCTTCAGGGGATCGCCGTCTTCATCGAACTCATCTATGTCATCATCCTGCTGCTGGCTTCGTTCGGACTGGCCCCGATGAACGGCTTCACCGGCTTGTTCCTGGCGCCGGTGGTGCAGCAGATCGCGGTGCCGCTGCTGATCGTGCTGGTAGTCATGTGCATCCTCAACATCTATGCAATGTGGGTTACATACAAAGGACTAGCGTTCCTAAAGTCGAATCCCAAGGACGCCAATAATTTCAACATGGCTTCGAGCGTTTGATCGGATGATGGCCGCGCCCGCCCCCGCCAAAGTCACGTTGAGAGCCGGCGACAGCGACGAGACCATCCCGTTGCGGCAGGACAGCGTTCGCACCGTCTTCTTGTAGTGTTTATGGGATATATCGGTTTGTCGGGAAAATAATGACCACTCTGTCGCATCTAAAATCATATTGCCGCCGAGAAAATGAATTGTGTCGCGGCAAAATCAAATTGCTTTTCACTTCAGCGACATGATCGGCGAAGTGAAATTGGGCTCATTATTTTCCCGACAGACTGATATTATCAATGGCTCTCGGCTTTTTTTGGCGGATTTGTAAATAATTTTAGAATAGAAATTAAATTACACATGGCAACCCGATATGTTTTTTTGGCTCTTTTCGGTAGAAAATTTTTTCTCGAAACTGCTTTATTTCGTTTGCCAATTGTGACACTTCGTTTGGACGAAATTCCAAAGTAGGTGGAACACACTTTTGCCATGTTTCGAGTTGCCGTGTTCTCTTCACAATCAGTATTCATTATGGGCCTCAAAATTTTTCTTACTTCCTCAACATATTTCAGGTTTAACTTTGGCAAATAAACATTTTCTAACAATTTTGAAAAGAGTTAATTTTCATTTTACACTACAGTAAAACCCCTGTACAGCAAATTTATAACCTTACGTATAACAAGACCTTTCTATAACGATCACTTTTCAGAAGCGTGAGAGTCAAATACATGCTAAAAATAAACTTCTGTACAGCAAACCATTAGGAAACCCCACTTCCACAACAAAGAAATTCAGGTCCATGCGATTCCTTTATGCACTTATGTACATATACGCATGGTTGACTTTTTTCCAAAATAAAAATGTAAATAAGAACACTCAGTAAGGCTTAGTTTTCCCCAAAATAAGGGATTTGGGCTCAGCCGGTGATCGAAACCGGGGCCTCTCGCACCCAAAGCGAGAATCATACCACTAGACCACTGAGCCGCGCTTTCTTCGCCGCACACATGAGATATCGCTTTAGGGGATAAAGATAACTAAAAGAGGTTTCAGAGAGTTGAGAGAGAAAAACGAGCATGATTTTTCACTGCCCGGCATCTTTTTTTGATCCCTATCTCCTAAAGCGACATCTCGTGTGCGCGGCGAGGAAAGCGCGGCTCAGTGGTCTGGTGGTATGATTCTCGCTTTGGGTGCGAGAGGCCCCGGTTTCGATCACCGGCTGAGCCCATAACTTTTTTGGTGAGTTTTAAGTAAAGCTCATGTACGACAACTCTCAAAGGATCAAGAGATTTATTGGTAATTCATATCAGTCTGTCGAGAAAATAATTTAGGTTTGACGGAGAAAAGTTTCTCGCCTTGTCGCAGTCGCGCACCAAATCTCCGGCCGTGGCTAGCCGCGCAAAGCGATGATAGGCGATTCCACATTTTTTGCCGACAGGGTGATAAAACGGACCCGTTGTTTTGAGGTTCATTCTGGCCCAAGGTTAACTCTTGCGGGCTCTAAAATTGATCGTTATAGACAGGTTTCTTTGTACAGAAGCCACTATTATATCATGATTTTTTAGGAACACAATGAACTTTATTATAATATTATTACAGCGTTCAGTCGATCAATGTACAAAACCACTATTATATTACAACAAAAATATCACGAAAACTCTATCTAAATTCAACCAGGACTATCCGTCTACTCGTTTTTGATTGCCAACTTGTCGGCTTTGAGCTCCTCCTTGAACTCTTGCACCTTTCTCAACTTGAGTCGTAGGTATTGCCAGCTTCTGAAGACGATCCACAGCACGTAGATTCCACTCAAGGTCTGCGAAAACAAACTGATCGACGCCTGCAGAGCCTGCTCGGGCACAGCGCGGAATTGGTCCCAGTGCTCCATTAGGCCATTCCCCGGGCCAATGATTTGAAAGGCCGTGAGATAGAGGTATGCGGCGTAGATCAGCTGGATTACCGAGTTGAAGGACTGGAAAAATAACGCGAAACAACTAAACAACTTACAAATACGATCATATACGGCATGTACAGCCAAGGGATGTCGAAATGATTTCCACAGATGAGCAGAATATACGACATAATCTCCACTCCTTTGCTGATTACCACAAAGTCATTCTGCGCCATATGCATTAACGTTCCGGTCAGGAGCGCTGAAGCGGTGAGGTAGAGAAGCGACAGGACAAACGTCGCTTTCTGAAAATTGTTTTTTCTTTCTATTTCAGAGGGGAAGGTTCTAAAAAATCGTCCTTTACAGCAACCGCTGATATTTTGTGACTACGTATCAGTCTGCCGGGAAAAAAACGTCAGGCCGTGGCGCCTTTGAACCGCCCATTATCTTGAAAATGCTGTTCAAGGCCTGTGCGACGGCTAGTCGGGCCTGGAAGTTTGGCGCACACCCTTTTTTCGGCAATACATTTCGCTGCGATAAACCGCCGTTATTTTCCCGACAGACTGATATTCTTGTTGGAAAAATTTTGCAGCTGCTCTGTATAACAACCTGATCCACAACAAGGCCTCTCTAAAGTCTTTGACCAGTGTCATGTGGCTAAATTTGTGCCAAATGTCATCAAAATTCAAGATTAACAATTTCTAGGCCTGTAACACAAGTTTTCTCTTTTTTTATTTTTTTCTTCAAACCGGCTCAATTTTAGAAATCGTATTTTAAACCTACATGAACATGGAATCCATAGACGCATTTGTAATAGTCCTCCGGTGAAGCCGGCCCTTTTTTCGTCCTCCAATTGATCAGCAACGACACCAACGACACCAGCATTACTTACTATCAAAAAACAGCAAAATACGGAGCGAAAAGGCTCGAAGTACAAATGTTTTTGCTGCAAACCCCTTCGTATTCAACGAATAGCCTTGAAAATTCGGAAAACGGCGAGATATCCAGCGGGTCCGGGAGAAGCGGTTGACCTGAATCTCGAACGAAAGAAAAAGTTTTTTTTTTTACGATGTGACGCCATTGCCGGTTTACTGCGCCAGGTCGGGGGGGTTTTTGGGTTAGACATTGAATTGAAAATAACAAAAAAATTGAAAATCCAAAAAACAAAAAATTTTTTTTTTTTTTGAAAATTATAAAACAAAATATAGTATTTTAGTAAATAAAATATGAATAAAAATACAAATTTTAGCAAAAGTAATCAAAAAAATAGAAAATTCAAAGTTTTCCCCCAGCCGGACTCGAACCCGGCCCATTAAAAAATCGAACCCACTACCAGTTGCGCCACAGCGACACATGAAAAAAATAATCTCAAAAATAGAAAACGTACGCCCTAAGGACACTACAAAGCCATTTGATTTTTGAAACAACTAGTTGTCAATTGAGTTGCAACTCAATTCTAATCTATTTTTCCCAAAAAATTCAAAAATATTTTTTTTCGTATAATTTTTTCCGTTTAAAAAAATTATGCAAATTTGAATTAAACTTTGCACGAAAAAACGAGACCCAACTCAGTATGGCTGAATTATTACTTCGTTGACGTCCCGCGAACGGCTGGTGGTGACATTGTTCAGGTGGAAATCTGGAACAAAACAGGAATTACAGTAAGTGCGGGAGGGTGATAGCAAATGAAATTAACAGCAGGCCAACCGGTGAGGGCATGGGTAACTTTCGAAATGAGATTTTTAAGTTTTTCTCCCAAGAGGATCGAACTTTAGACTTTCAGTGGTGACTTAACCCACTACCACTATACTAAAGAGGTACGCGGGCTTAAAACCGTCGGAATTGCGGGCCAATGACAAAATCGGGCTTGAACTGACTTGAAAGCGATTCCAGGTGGACTTCCTCAACACCTCAAGGCATCGGCTCTTGACCATGACCGCGCGAAGAAGGCCGCCCAGTCTGGCTCGGAATACGGGGACCGCTAGTCGATATCAACAACCTCTAGTGTCCCGGGTCAGCAAAAAGAAGAAAGGCGCCACGGAGGAGGCGAATGACGACGGAACACAAATGGAACCCAAGACCATCGACTCCGGCCATCGATCCCATCATTCCAAGGCCCGCTCCATTCAAGGAACCAACAGAGAAGTAAGCGAGAAAAATTTCGGGATAAAACTTCTTTAAGAGGGCCCCTCGACGAAGAGAGCCCCTCGGCGAAGAGGGAACCTAGGCAAAGAGGGCACCTGGGCGAAGAGGGCACCTTGAGGAAGGAAAGATGCTGTAAGGGGGACCAAGGCGGATTTTGTAAGAATGATTTCTTTGGATAGCTGTTTTTTGCCAAAAAATCATTCTAAAAATCCGCCTTGGTCCTCCTTACCGCATCTTTTTCCTCAAGATGCCATCTTCGCCCAGGTGCCCCCTTCACTCAGATGCCCTCTTCGCCCAGGTGCCCTCTTCCCCCAGATACCCTTTTCACAAGGTGCCCTCTTCCCTTTGTCCCATCTTTTTCCGACCTCCCAAGACTTCATTTTTAGGGCAACGAGGCCATTTTCAACAGGGCTTTGAAGGAATTTTGCCTCAATTCCATCGAGACAGGACCGAAAAAGTTGGCCAATGAGTTCGTGGAGACCCGCTCGGCCATGCCCAAGAACGTCCCGAAGACTGCGTTTCAGGCGCACGGGCCAAAAAATCGCTACAAGGATGTGATTTGCTTGGACGAAACCCGGGTGAAACTGACCTGGCCGGACAGCGGAAACGATTATATTCATGCTAATTATGTGAATATGGATGGTAAGCTTGGAGTAATTTTGAGCCCTAGGGTCTGAAAAATGTAATACCAGCTTTCAAAAAAAAATTTTTCGTCCAGGCGGATTCGAACCCAGGACTTTTCGATTTCTAAACTAATTCACAACCAGTTGCGCCAAAATGACATTTTCTAAAAAAAGCCAAAAATGGCATGTCTTGATATTGTGGACTAAATTACGAATAACCCTTTGGTTTTGAAGAAAAAACTTCGAATTTTCTCTCTGTATACTCGGTAATTTGTCGATTTTCAGGAAAAATGCGCTACATTTGCACGCAAGGCCCCACCGCCGACACCACTGTCGACTTTTGGCGAATGGTTTGGCAGGAGAAATGCAAGGGAATCCTGATGCTGTGCGAGGTCATGGAGATGGGGAAGAAAAAGTGCGAGCAGTACTGGCCGCTGAAAGTGGGAGAGGAGGGGGAATACGGACCGATCAAAGTCAAGACGTTGAAGGTCCTCCAAACCGAAGAACACTTGCATACCACGCATTTGGAGATCACTGCGGTCGGCGGTAGGAAATTTTACCTATTTTTGGCGCAGAATTTTGGGGACTTTTCGCTAGCAGCCAGACTGAAATTCGGCGTAGATTTTCAGGAGAAGTAACCCAAGTGCGACGTTCAGATTTTGATGAAGCTTTACACAAATTGAGAAAAAAAATTTTTTAAGACTGCGGTACTCTTAGCCCGCGCTTTGCAGAAACGACTGAGATTTTTTGCCGAAAGTTGGAAAAAATGTGCCATGCAAATTTTGGCATGAAAATTTTCATGCTTATTTCTTCCACAGAGGATAGCCAAAATTCGCAAAAAATGTGGCGCATTTTTTTAACTTTCGACTAAAATCCTTGGTCGTTTCTGCAAAGCTCGAGCTAAGAGTCTCGTATATCTTTTAGAAAAAAATATTCTAAACTTGTGCCAAGTTTCATAAAACCTGAGCGTCCCACTTGGAGTACTTTCCCTGTCAGTATTTATAACTTTTTCTTTTTGCTATTTAGTAAGCTCAACTTGCCGGGCCGTTTCAAATTTTCCTCGGTCCGGCTCGGCCGTTCACGTGGCATAGCTTGAGAGCTATGTCTAGTCAAGATGAACAAGCCGTTTTATAACAAGGAAGGTACTTTTACGGGGGGTCCTTCTTTTAGACGGGGCATATCTTAAAAAATCGGATTTTTTGAGATACATCCCGTCTAAAAGTAGAAGCCCCCATAAAAGTACTTTCCTCGTAAAAAAAATGATTTTTTGACTCCTTCCATTTTAGTTCGTCCATTTTGGACCTATCTCAATTTTTCGCTGATTTTTTTTCCTAAAATTTCTTCGTTTCCAGAGACCCGTCAAGTTCATCACATTTTGTGGGAGAAATGGCCGGATCGCGGAGTTCCCAAGGACTATTTGGGTTGTTTGCGGCTGATCAAGCGCATCAACCCGATTGTGCCGGTGGTGGTACATTGCTCGGCGGGAATTGGTCGCACCGGCACAATCGTGGGCCTGGAGATGTTGCAACTGAAGCTCCAAAAAGGCGAAGTTTGCACTATGGCCGAGGTTGTGGCCGAACTGCGGAAATATCGCCATGGATCGGTTCAGACGGACGTTCAGGTAAATTTATATTGCACTTGAACTATCTCCGACACGTTTTTTTCGAAAAAAATAAACTCGACTTTTTTCCAATTTTTTTAAACCTTTTTTTGAAAAAATTTCAATTTAATTTTTATCTTTCATATTTCAGTTCCTCTACATGCACCGCGTGATCATGGAGCTGGCGACGAACCGCAAAGCCATCACCAGGGCCGAACTTCAGGGCTTCTACGAGGAATACGATAAGATTGTCGCCAGAACGCAGTGAAATCGCCAAGTAGAACAACATCTCTCATCCCACTCACCTAACTGTTCCACTGAATAAACGCTACGCTATTGGCAATTCCACTTCTTGGATAAAATTTTGGGCCGCACTGTGCGGGGCGAAAAATAGGCTAAAATTGCGATTGCACGGTGCAATCACAAAAATAGTGCCAAATTTGGGATTATCCTGTGCAATGACAAACAAAAATTGATTGCTTTAGAAAATACAGACATTAAGCAGGCCATCTGGTATAATAGTTTTTTTTTTAAATTTTGAGCGCACAGTGCAAAATCGTCATTTTATTCAAACCGCACGGTGCAATGACGAAAATAGTGCAAAACTTGGGGTGCACAGTGCAGACCTAAAAAAACTTTTTCCTAGTGATGCCTAACTGGTCGAAGAGAAAATTTTTTCATAAAAAAATTCATATAGCTTTGCCCGCACGGTGCGAACCCCCCATTTTTCCAAATCGCACTGTGCAATAGCCAAAATGGTGTAAAATTTTGCCGCACAGTGCAATTTTTTGGAAAAAAGGCTATAGACGTATTTTACCACCAAAAAAATAGATTTCATTCATACGGTAACCTAAATCTTCTCTTTTTTGACCCGATTTCCCCGATTATCCGGGAAAAAAAAAATTAAAATCGCATCTAATTCAGACGGCTTAAAATAACTTCATTAAAACGTCTGTGAACTCTTGTTCAATTAGCGGCAAGAAGAGCGGTTTTGGCGACCTCGTAATTCGCAAAATGGAGGGTAATTCGGCTAGACAATTGAAAAATCGGTGGGAGAAAAAAGGTTAATACAGTAATCCGATTAGCAAAATCTGCTGTTTGTCGGGCTCTGTGTGATCTGGGATGTATTTTATCTGGATTTAAACTACCGTATCGGCGAGTTTTCCGTGTGGAAGCCTTCATTTTCAACTTCCAAAATTTTTGCCCAATTTTTTAAACCTCAAAATTTTTCGTAAAATTGGTCCAAAAAGTACCTAAAATCAAGCCACAAAAAAACTTCAAGGCATGAGCAATATGATAATCGAACATATTGCTCAAATTATGCCCCAATTTTCGAAAAAATCAATTTTAAAAAATTCTGATTTAAATCAATTTTAAAAAATTCTGAATTTATTTTTTTTTCAAAATCCCTTGAATTTATGCCTAAATTTTGCTCGTTATTTCATCCCCGTATTTTTCCTCCATTCAGTACAATCTAGACTCCTTTCTGGCCAAAAACCGCCGTCCCTCAAAAAAAATTTTTTCCGAAAACCACCTAAAATCATCAAAAAATTCCGTTTTTTGGAAAACCAACGCTTCAAATCCTTTCATTTCAACCATAAATATATTTCAAGGGCCTATCCTTTTCTTATCATCAATAATCACCACACATCCTCATGTAAAATAACAGCTTTTTATTCGGTTTTACGTTCTTTAGCAAAGTCCTCCATGGCGCGGGTGAACGACGCGGTCCGACGACGGAAGCGGGGATAGCGGATGGCCGGAGAGCGTTGATGGGGTGGGATGAGAGTGTATTGAGTGAAGAGGGGGATGTGATCCGATGGGACGTGGGGATGGGGGAAGCCGGTAACCCGGTTCTCGTGGAGCCAATCCTGATCGATTCCGGCGAGGAATCCGTCGCGATGTAGGGAGCGGTTGCTGCTGAATATGTAGTCAATCATGCCCTTGAAGTCGTGCCTAAAAGGAATTGAAAATCAGTTTCATAAACTTGGTGCAGAATGCCAAAATTAACGGTTTCGTTTAAACGGAATGCCAAAATTCAGGGTTTCGTGGTTGGACAAATTAATGATCGCTGTAATTTCATCTGCAGGTGGCTAAAACATGTGCTACAATTCATCCCTCAAATTTTTCAATACTTTTGGGTGTTTTAAACAGAATGCCAAAATTCAGGGGTTCGTCGTAGGACTCGAAGAAATGGTTCAAAAATAGGAAATAGCTGCGTAAACACGTGTTCTGAAGGTTTGGACTCCATTTTGGGTTGTTTAGATTCTTGTTGCACAATGCCAAAATGCAAGAACTCGTTTTCGAACCCTAAAATAAGACTTTTCTATTCCGATGAACTTCGAGACAACTACAGTGGCGGACCTGTTCCAGTCACAAAAAACGTACCATTTCGCACCCAGGAAGTACTAGTCGCGGAAAAAAGTCCTGGGATTTTTCTGCGACTCTGCACTGTGCATGAACCCGAAAAGTGCATTTGCACAGTGCAATTTTGTTGATTTTGGCTTATTGTCGCGCGCGATTCCCGCGACAAATCAACTTTTCGGAGCGCGATGGAATTTGGGGGGCGCGAGAAAATCCCAGGACTTTTTTCCGCGACTAGTATCAAAAACGCCGCAAAATACCTCCCTCTCCAAAAAAACACAATTTTGAAAAAATCCTTCCCTCACAAAAAACGGGCGCGCTTTTGAAATTGGAGCCTTTTCACTTGGAGAGGGAGTGTTTTGAAGCGTTCTTGATACTTCCCGGATGCAAAATGGCACGTTTTCTCCACTGGACCACGTCCGCCACTGTAGTTGCTCCGAATTTCTTCGGGAAATTTTTAAAACGCCTTATTTTAGAGTCCGAGACAGAGTTCCTGCATTTTGGCATTGTGCAACAAGACTCTAAACAACCCGAAATGTAAACCAACCCTTGAGAACACGTCTTTACACTGCCACTTCTACATTTCAAACCATTTCTTCAAGTCCTACGACGAACCCCTGAATTTTGGCATTCTGTTTAAGCCACCCAAAATCATTCAAAAAGATGTAGAACGGATATGATCACGTATTTTACCAACCTGCAAAAGAAATTAACCTTTAGTTTGTCCCACCACGAAACCGTGAATTTTGGCATTCTGCCCCAACCCGCTAAATCCATTCAAAGCCGGTCTCAAACTACTCAGATAACCCAAAAATAACGAAAAAGCTTAATTTACAACATTTGCAGGCCAAACCTCCACAAAAAATCCCAAAAACATACGTATAATTGGTATGTGGAACATATTCTTGTGGGACGGCTTGTTCCAGTTGGAACGCATGGGTGTAACTGGTGTCTCCGTACTCATTGGTACACATTCCATTCAAGACCATCGAGTCGCGGAACATTTTCAGTTCCGGATGATTTTTGTTTATGATTCCTCTGGTCAGGAATTCCACTACGCCGGAGTCCGGAAGGGAGTTGAAGTCACCGCTGATGATCACTGGGATCTCCTGAAAATGTTCGGTAAGTCAGTTTGGAACTTTGAAAATCCTAAAACTATGTGTTTCAATAGCATATTGGCTGTGATTTTGGTTTCGGGCAAAAAAGTTGCAGGTTCGAATCCCCCTAGAAAAAAATGTCAGGAAAGTCTTTCAATTCTTTTATTCTCAAGTTCGGGAAAGCGAATACAGGTAAAAATACAGCTATTAGCAGGAAAAATACAATGAAAATCTTATAAAAACCTCCCCAATTTCAAAAAATCATCAAAACTTTGAAATTGTTATCAATTTTCTTCAAAAAAAAATCCAAAATTTTTTACCTCAAAGCTTTTTTTGGGTAATAGACCCTTTTTCTTTTTATATCCCATTACAACCTTAAATCAAGAAAAAACTCCCAAAAATTTGCCAAAATTTCCAATTATTACCCAAAATTGCCTCCAAACCCCAAAAAATTCCATCTTTTACCTGTACTGCAATTCCAGTCTGTTCCGACAACCTCTCCAGCTGTTTCGCACATTCATGTAGAAGCATCATCGACTGGATCAGCTTCACATCGCAAAATTCAGGGTCCCAATGGATGTGTGCGCAGCAAAACAAGAGAGGCGAGCCGAGAAGGCGATCCGTCCGGTCGATGGTCTCCGGTTTCGCGGGCGCTTGCTTCTGTCCTGTCGCGTATTTCGGCGGGGCCGACTCTTGAACGTAGAGGTCGGGGAGGACGTCTAGGACGGCGACTTGGGCGATATTATCCTTGGGCATCACCCGATCGATCACATGTTCCGAGTCGTGGGCTTTGTGGATGGCGACTTGAGTGAACTCAACGACGTGTTTGTGGGTCAGGCGAAACCTGAAAATTGTGAGATAAGTTTTTGTTTAGCCTCATGCCCTCTTTTTTCTGCAGAATTCAAAAAAAATTTTTTTTTGAAACTTTAACCTCGCCAAAAATTTTTTTTTCAAAATTTGTTCTCAAAAATTCTGAATTAATCTGACACTCATTTTTCTTCCAAAATCCGAAAAAAATCTTTGTTTCCGACCTTATTTTAGCTTCAAGACACCTCAAAAAAAATTTGGGCTCAGCCGGTGATCGAAACCGGGGCCTCTCGCACCCAAAGCGAGAATCATACCACTAGACCACTGAGCCGCGCTTCTCCGTTCGCGGATTTTCGGGGATTTCTCCGTGGATTTCAAAAACCCGAAGCGAGAAAATTAGTCGACGCAAAAAGGAAAAACTTTCTCGCTGTTTCATCCACTTTTTACCTTCTATTCAGCTGCTTGAAGTCTCTTCAACATAATAAAACCATTTTCTCTTCAAAATCTAAAATTTCTTCTAGTGGGATTCGAACCTGAGATGTTTTGAGTCCAAGGCCAACTCACTACCAATCGCGCCATATGGCACAAATTTCGAAATCCTCAGAAATTACTACAACTTTCAATTTATACCTTATTCAAGCATTCCAATCCTCCGAAAACCAAATTTCTTTAATTTTCACTTACTTCTTTTTCTTCCAAAACAACGCGCATCCGTCCACATGGCGGCGATCCTCATTTTTCATCGTTCTTGCTCTCGTTTTTGCGGCAAAAACACCTTCATATCCATGCTGTTTCAGACCTCCTTCGAACATATTCTGATACTGTTCCGATTCCACTTCCTGAAGCGAAATTAAGTCGGCATCAAAGTTGACAATCTCCTTCAGAATGATGTGTTTTCTGTATTCCCAATGAAGAGCCCACCTCGGGCAGTACGAATACATGTTGTTTGTGGCATATTTGTCGCACAGAACGTTGTAGCAGAGGACCGAAAATTGGGCTGAAAATGCAATATCTCAAATTTTTCAAGCCATATTTTATTTTTTTCTCTCAAATTCGGCTAAGCCAAATTGCTAACTATTTTCCACTGGGACTCGAACTTGGCTCAATTTTTTGTCCAATTCCTTTACATTCGCTGAAACAAAACGACAGTTTTGTAAAATACGAGCAATTGAGATGAGTTCTATTTTCATTTTGCAATCAGTTTCCGCGCTTTAACACGGCAAAATTTCCACTACATTATTTTTTCTTCAAATCCTGCAAAAATTTTGGGCTCAGCCGGTGATCGAAACCGGGGCCTCTCGCACCCAAAGCGAGAATCATACCACTAGACCACTGAGCCGCGCTTTCTTCACCGCGCACAAGAGATGTCGCTTTAGGGGATAAAGATAAAAAAGGGTTTCAGGAAGCGAACAGAGAAAGACGAACACAACTTTCGCTTCCAGACATCCTCTTTTACCTCTATCCCCCTAAAGCGACATCTCGTGTGCGCGGCGAAGAAAGCGCGGCTCAGTGGTCTAGTGGTATGATTCTCGCTTTGGGTGCGAGAGGCCCCGGTTTCGATCACCGGCTGAGCCCAAAATTTTTACAGGATTTGAAGAAAAAATAAAGTAGTGGAAGTTTTGACGTGTTAAAGCGTGGAAACAGATTGCAAAATAAATGAAAATTGAACTCATTTCAATTTCTCGTATTTTACAAAACAGTGTCGTCTTGATTCAGCGAAAGTAAAATGGAATTCGAAACATTTTGAGCAACTCCCAATGGAGTAAAATAACCGTCCATTCTGTATTTTACAGCCCCCAAAAATCAAATAAGTTTCCGAATTTTCAAAAAAAACTCATAAATCAATATTTTATATTAGACTCTGCTAAAGCATGTCACTGAAGCCATAAAAAGCCATAAACCAAACAACAAACAAAATTCGACACTACGTATTTTAAAATCAGTTTTTGATCGTACCATCTTATAAACGACCATAATTTTCTTACCGACAGGTTTGTCTGTTCGATCCTGCGGCAACGAGATCCATGCCCGTTTTGGTGGAGGAGGGGTGCTCACTAAACCAAGAAATCGATAAAAAAAGTTATAAAAACCTACATGCAAGCTCATCCAAAAGAATCTGCAAGATCCGTTTGGTACAATTGGTCCCGGTTGCATTCTCCAGCAAAATTTCTGGCAAGGGATTCTCCAAAATGGCTAAAAATACAATAACCTCAATGATAATCAACTTACCAATGCTTTTTAGTTTGAATAATTTCCCAATTTCCGCTGGAAGATGGGTCAAATTGTTTGATCGCAAATTCAAATGTAAAAGCGCCGACATATTGCCCAATTCCGCTGGTAGACTGCGCAGTCTGTTGTAGGAGACATCCAGAATCGTCAACCCTGTGAGATGGCAAATTTCCGGAGGAATGGACTCCAAATAATTGTGACTCAAAAACAAGGAGGTCAAATTCTTCATGGCGAAGATTGCCGGACTCAAAACTCGAACACATCCTGCAAACGGGTTTAATTTGCAAGATAATTCAATAAGAAAGCATTGGGTTTAATTTTCAAACCATTAGTTAACTAATAGTTTAAACAGGACAGCACTGTCGATATTACACTAGACACATGATAAAAATCGCAACAAAACTCAAAAACAACCTCGGAAGAAATTGTGCTAGCTCCCCAGTACAACGAGGCAGCCAAATAACACCAAAATCACCCTATGGCCTCAACGAATTATTCAATTTTTCGTCAAATCCATCAAATCGTATAGCGCAACATAATTCCCCTAAAAAAAGACAAAACAAACAAATAATCTTACCATGGACCTCGAGCTCGCGCCACTTGGCACTCTTCTGATTGTCAAATTCGTCTTTATTCAGGATTCGATGCGTCCTCAGCGCGCCTTCCTTCACACATTTCCGCCCTTTATTTGGCTCACAGTCGACCAATGGCAACCCCGCCGTCCCCGTATAGGGAAACTCCGTTGACAACAACAAGTTCGGTTCTGAAAGTTGACGTAATATTACGGCGATTCCAAACAGATTTCTTGCAGTTTTCAGCAGTTTCGACATTGGTTTAGGTGAACCCTACGGAAATCTCAAATTTCAAGCTTAAAAAACAATTCATTTAGGAATAAATGCTTCAAATGGACCAATACGAGCATGTATGAGCTGTTTCAAATCATTACACGTCTTCTCGAGCCTTATGTTAACTATGAACACCAATCTCTTTACCTTATCCATAAACCCAAAACTGATAATCTCAAAAACAACAAACCTTCGTGAGTTAACATCGAAAATGAGTCGTCACAGGTCCGAGCTTCATGAACTTATCAAACAATCAATAAAAACAAGAAATGGGCCAGATTTCGGATATTCTCCTTGGTCCGACCAAAACAAAATCCGTTTTGATTCAAAATGCAAGTTTGCAAAACAAGTTGATTTAGCTGAAAATATTATTCAAGGTTAAGAAGTCGGCTGGAAAACAGCTTGCGCTGAGGTAACGCGTAAAATCGACCGGTCGAAAAAAATTTAGGCCAAATTTCCGCCTAAAAATATTAGGCTGAAAATAAGGTGAAAAAAACATCTCAGAGGTTCAACAATTTACCGTAGAGCCTTGTTTCGAAAGGACAGACGCGTTAGGACGGTCTAGTAACCTCGAACGTGCGCAATTTTGCAAAAACTCACGAAATCCGAGAAGAAAACCAGGGGTGGTCAGTGGGCCGGGCCGGCCCGTGACGGGCCGGCCGGGCTCAAAAATGGAAAATTACAAACGGGCCGGGCCCGTCACGGGCCGGGCCGGGCAGCGGGCCTGGGGTTTTTTCCGGCCCGGCCAGGCCCGTCTAAATTACAATGCCAAACCGTTGGCATTCATTGTTTTCGCGCCGGGAAAATTAATTGATGTTGTTATAGTTGCTGTTTCTCAAGTTCTAAAACGTTTACAAGTTTATAGTTCCATTATAGAACCACAAAACTATCACATTGATCCTTTACTAGCTAGATCAACGCCTTTTTTGCCTCGGTTTAGATCCCGAGCCTGGGCGCAGTTCGCAGAGCCCTCTATAGACGGGCCTGCACGGGCCGGGCCGGGCCGGGCCTGGAAAAAGACTAGACGGGCCGGGCCGGGCCGGTAATTAGACGGGCCGGGCCGCGGGCCGAAAATCGGAAAAATAGGGTCCGCTGACCACCCCTGAAGAAAACTCGGTCGAGAAAGAGTTGACACAAGATTACGTTGGGTCAAGTCTTGCTCTTGGCGGCTTTTTGATGATTTGAAAAGAGAATGGGCCAAATCAATGTTTGAATAATCCATAGGATAAATTATGACACCTTTTCAACTTTTTCAGCTTTATTTTGACTTTCCTGCGCAATAAAATACTGAAATAAATGTGATTCTTTCATTGCAGATGTAAAATACGAATATCAAAAACTTCTTTTATTGAAAAACAAGTCCTTTATATCCATACGATGGGTACAATACAACATGGTAACGTTTTCAACAGCATCTTGCACAGTTTGGGCCTACGTATGTGCAGAATTTCGAAAAAATCAGAGCGTCGCACTTGGGACACGTCCCTGTTTCCAATGAAGTCTCTTCACATAGCGCGCTATCACTTCTCCGAAGAAGATGACAATCGCAACAAGTTCCACCAAAAGTAGTATCACCACAGTGCCAAAATACGGATATTTCGCTGAAAGAAAAATCGGATTTACTAAGATTCCACTCGTGGAAAAATGTTTTGGGTCGACGACAGTTTGGGTCAGCGCAAAATCGATCGATACGGGGTGTAGGGCAAGTGGATGGCCATAAAAAGGTTGTAGGGAGTGACTACGAGGCCTGTGAAAGCCGCTGAATGATTGGCGGTGGCTCGGCGGAGGCTTGGCGGGTACTTATAATATGTCTACTTTCCCTAATTTTAGCCATTGCCAACCCTACTTCTCTTGCCTCTGAGTTATTGTAACATTACAGTAATCCATGGCAAAGAAAATTAGCATTAGTAAATAATAGCTAAAATTAGAAAAGGTGGACATCTTGCAAGTCTCCGCCGACCATCCGCCGACCATCCAATGGCTTTGCCAGCCCTCGTAGGCACTTCTTACAACCTTTTTATGGGCATCCATCTGCCCTACACCCCGTATCGATCGACTTTGTGTTGACCCGAACTGTCGTCGACTCGAAAAGTCGCAAAGGGTCGGCCAGTACCAAAACTCACGTCCAATGACTTGCGTGCTGGCTGGAGCACAATCAATCTGACCGCGATAAACCTCGAGATATTTTCGCCACAAACTCCGCAACCTCCAGTGCTCTTTTTCAATGATTTTGTTGATCCGATCCACGTAAGGGAAGCCTTTTTTGAAAACAAAGTATCCGTAGGCTGGTGGAAAGATTGTGTCGGCGCTGAAGATATTGCACTTTCTGGAGAGTTCGAAGGAAATCCGCTCGTCTTCCTAAAACTTGCAGTGGTAGGTTTACGAAGAGTTTTACAAAGGAATACTCCTCTAGCTTACCGATCTCAAGAGCACTGCGCCCGGCTCATCCATCATCGCCATGACCTGTTTTAGCGACGAGCCCAGCCTCAGCGGATTCTTCTCCAGCGCCTCCCTCATTGCCGTATAATCAGAGGCGTTCGAGTTGAGTATGGCCTCGTAAAAAACATTATGTTTCGTGATCTCTACCATGTGCAAGGTCCCATCAGAGATCATCGATGTGAACTGCTCGAATGTTTTGAAGGGGATGTGAGCTTTTGGTCGGACTAGATTGGAGAAAATGTAGGAACTCAGAACTCCCATAATGACTGTGCATTGGATCAGCGAGAAGACAACCACCGAGAACTTCCCTGGAATGAGCGAGTGTTTGGCAGAATTCCTGGCTTCCCATTGGTAAGGAATTATTTAGTCTCAAAACCGAATAAAGGTCCTGAAAAAGTGGTAGAAAGAAATCGCGTCCCGACTTTTCGGGCCAACACAAAATCAATCGATACGGGATGTAAAGGCCATAGCACTTTACGACCGGACTTGTACAACCACATGATTTGTGTTTTAAACTATTTGCCTTACCTGCTTTCGAGCTATTCCGCATAATCTTGGATTGCAGTAATTGAAGCCGGAGCATTTGCCACACCAACTCCATAGCGGATTCTTTCGATTCGCGCTGAAATTACACAATTTTCGCTGAATTTGAATAGTCATCAAAATTGGAAATTTCGATAAACCAACTTTTCGAATTTGAGCCTCAATTCGATTGATGACAACGCACAGGACGCACTGCACGAGAAGCGCGACCGCAATTCCAATCCACGTCGTCAGTTGGTAGCTTTGGAAGAAGGCGAAGTATTGGTTCCAGTTGTCCTGCGGAATATTGACGAAAATCTTTTTGTTGGACTAAAGATTACAAGGCACGTCAAACTGAGGAGTGCGGGTAACCGGAATAGACATTTCGCTATTGGTTTTCGACACGTCGTCTTAATTTCACAGAGAAGTCAGAGAAAAGACGCGCAAAAACGTACTCTCTCGCCCAAAAAATTCCCCATTTCTTCGCGACAAAAAGTTTTTTCGCGTCCTTTTTGGCAAATTGCCAATCCACTCTTCGGACCGTTTTAGCTTATCTCAGTTTGACGTGCAAGGTTGATGTTGGCGAGGAAGGACTTACGTAGAACACGCTCCGGCTGAATTCGAAATATTTTCGTCGCTCAGCGTCCTGAAAGAGTGTGAGAGCCATCGTGTCGGCGGTTCCATTATGAATGTAGCCTAATAGACCCGTTATGTCGTCACCGACCTGGAAACGCGCTTGTTACTTGCAAGGGAGATACCCAACGTCATATTTTGATAAAACTTGAGACATGTTTAGAATCTTCTTTTCCAAGAAATATGCAGGACTCCGTGCGCGAAATTGAAAGAAAGTATGAGCGTCGCCCTGGGGCTGCCTCCCTTGTCAGCCAAGCCTCTGTACAATAAATCGAAAATACAACAAAAAACTCACCACACCCCCAATTATGGGTTGCTCTGACGGAACAATGACCGGCTCGATTCTTAGATTAAGTCCGTCAGCAATGAGCTTTAGAACCTGTACACCTTGCTGTAAACAACTCGAGGTACTGCGCAACCCACCTCCACATGAAGTCCCGGAAACCAACAGGAGGATCGCGGCGTTTGGACGGGGTAATCTTTGCAAGCCGTGTTCACAGCCGGCATCCCACCCGTATAAATCACCCTCAACTTGGCCCAAGAGGTGTTCATCTGTCGATGTGACAACTACGAGTTATGAAATCACAGTGTGCTTTAGGCATAGTCTTTGTTTTTAGTCGGGTTGTGACTTCCCTTCTAGCTCCTCCGAATGCTGCATTCCTGGTAATTTCAGCCCACGGAACAAACACATAGGAACAGATTGGACGGGTGTTTATTGTCTAAAGAGCACGTTTTTTAGCGACAGGGAATACCCCAAGTGCAACGTTTCATTATGATCAATCTCTCTTGGCGTACAAAAATTTTTATTCAAAAAAGAAAGTTCCGTCAAAAAATTCGTGACATCCACGTTCTGTACTTGAACACAATGAGTTCCCCGAACAGCACACCGATGGCCAACATCTCCGCGAGGAACAGAGCAATCGCTGTCCCAATGTACGGATATTTACCTGAAAATAGCAGTTTGTTACCGAAGATACGAGGGAATCTTACTTCCGATGACTTCAACATTGGATGGAACGCATGCCACATGATTTTTATAGGCTTTTAGGTACTTCCGCCAGAGCCTTTGAACTCTCCAGTGCTCCTTGGTGATGAATTCGTTGATTTGCTTCATAAAAGGAAAGCCTTTTCGAAAGACGAGATGGCCATAGACTGGTGGGAATATCATGTCGGTCACGTAGATGTTGCATTTTCTTGCCGTATCGAAAGCCAAATGCTCATCCTCCTAAAACAACGGTCTTAAGCGTTATTTGTAACATATAAAAGTACTGTCAGCCTGTCGGGAAAATAGTGAGGATTTTTTGCAGCAAAATGGCTCGCCTCGTGGCAGTCGCACACCAAATCTCCAACCGCGGCTAACCGCGACAGTTGCTTGGGAAATTCCAAGGCGCGACCAACCCACATTATTTTCCCGACAGACTGATATTTTCGTAAGATGTAGGGCATTTTTCGCGTCTCCCGGGGAAATAATGAGCCCTCTGTTGCATCGACAAATCGCATCGCGAGCGAGAAAATGAATTGTGTCGCGACAAAATCAAATTGTTTTTCACTTCAGTGGCCCGCTCGGCGCAGCGCATTGCGCTCATTACTTTCAATAGCTCTACTTACATATCTCAAGAGTACGGCCCCGGGCTCATCCAGCATATCGACGACGTGATGTAATGACGCTCCAAGTCTGAGCGGGTTCGATTCCAGCGCCTTCCGCATCGCGGTGAAATCCGCGGCATTTGAGTGGATGACAGTTTCGTAAAAGACATTTCGCTTTGTCACCTCCACCAAATGCAGAGTTCCGTCGGCCACAAGTGATGTGAACTGCGCAAAAGTCGTGAAAGGAATTGGAGGCTTTGGTCGGACTAGATTTGAAAAAATGTAGGAGCTGAGAACGCCCATCACGACTGTGCACTGGATCAGGGAGAAGATTACCATCGATATTTTTCCTGAAAGGCTCCGAACCATAGGATGAAAAGATTTATTGCAGCAATTTTAATGCCATAAAGTACCTACCGGCAGTCAAGCTGTGTTGCAGTGTTTCAGACTGCATTAATTGAAGGCGTAACATTTGCCATGCCAATTCGAATACGCTCTCCGTTGAGTCGCGCTGGAATAATTTTAGCGTCAAATTTTTAACCTACCTTTTGAACACGGGCTTCAATTCGGTTGACAAAGATGCAGAGAGCACATTGAACCAGTAGAGCTGTTACTATTCCAATCCAAGCCGAGTAATGATAGCTTTGGAAGAAGGCAAAATATTTATTCCAATCGTCACGGGGAAGGTTGAGAAAGGCTTTGCAATACGACTGAAAAGATTGTATCTTAACGACAAGGTCGGTATATCAGTCTATCGGGAAAGTAATGATCACAATGTCGTACCGAAAATCACAACGCAAAATGAATTGTGTCGCAGTAAAATAGCATTGCTTTTGATTGGCGCAGCGACATTATGCTCTTTGTCATCCCGATGGTATTTCTTTACAAACTAGTGACTCACAAAATAGAGAGGTTTGGTGAAATCGAAAAATTCTCGGCGAGCGTCGTCCTGGAAAACTGTTAAGGCAAGCGTGTCGGCTGCTCCATTGTGAATCAGACCCAAAAACCCATCGATTGAACCGTTGACCTATGAGACAGAGATTAAATAGTGACATTATTACCTATCAGTCTGTCGGAAAATAATGTGGATTCGTCGCACCGCGGAATCGTCCAATATCGCTTCGCCACGGCTAGCGGCGACTGTGAATTTGGTGAGTGGCGAGGCAAGACGGACAAAGCCACATTATTTTCCCGACAGACTGATAGAAGAATAGCAGAGGGTTATTCTGCAACGCCTAACCTATTCAACTCACCACTTGTCCCACATATGAGTAGTAATGTAACCACAAAATCGGCAACTTTTTTTTTTTGCCGATTTTGTGGTGTTATGAAAAAAAATGATCGGAGGGATACTGTAGGACTTTTTTTTGAGGGGGGAGGGGGGCGGTGCGTGATTATCATATTTATAACTTTTTTTTTGGAGGGTGTATGTTTTTTTGTATGTGGATTTTTAATGTGCTTTTTTAATTATTCCGATGGATTACTGTATTTTTTTTCTGGGCGGTATGTCTTAAAGAAGATCTGAGAATTGGGTAAAAATCCCACAAAATCTGCAGATATGTTACAACTTTAATGTGTTTTTTAAATGACTCCGTAGGATTACTGTAGTATTTTGGCGGTATGTCTTAAAGAAGCTAGTGCCCCCCTCGAGAATTGGGTAAAAATCCCACAAATTCTGCAGATATGAGAGGGGCGGAGCTTAGGGCCTCATAAATGAGGGCCAGACCTTTTATAGGTAAAAATCCCACAAATTCTGCAGATATGTTATCAGAGGGCGGAGCTTAGGGCCTCAAAAATGAGGGCCAGAGCTTTTATAGGCATATATGGTCATAAAAAATATTATACAGAAAATTTTTAAAAAGGGGGACGGAGAAAACCGCACAAAAACAAAAACAGTAAAAATCCCCCAAAATCGACATGAAAAAAGGTAAAAAAACAGAGCGCGAAAAAAACAGAGCGCGAAAAAAAACATTCTAAAATTTTGCAATTAAATTAACATAAAATAAAAAACAAAAAAACAAAAAAAATGTAAAAGGAATAAAAAATAATTGTGATTCCAAATAAATATGTGGAACGGTCGGGTGTTTGAAAAAATAAACCCTCCACCGTCATCATGTGGATTATGGCCTAAATGCCCTGAAGGATTCCTGTGTAAAGAATCATATGAGTGAGTTTTGATTACAGCTTTTAATTTTTTTTTCTTCTAGTAGAAAGGTTCGACTATGTTTGCCCCGATGGTTAGGATCTGTGGAATCTATTGAATCTTTACCGTCTAATCAATCGATGGTGCCCCAAATCTTTTCTCCACAGATAATTGCAGGAACCTCATTGATTTTTGTGATGTGTGGGATTGTATGTCTTCTACTAGGAATCTTTATTGGCCGAAGATCATTTCAATATATAAAGTTATAAAGTAATAAATTTTTCTTTTTCTGAAAAAATCTGTTGGGTAATTTATTCAAAAAGACACTTTACGGGGGCGGGGCACAAAAACGGTAAATTGAGTATAAAAAGAAGTAAGGTAAAAGAGATATTGGTCATAATGATTTCTAAGGACGCAAAGATGGCTAAACTGAGTAAAGAGGAGTAAGTCAGAGTCTTTAAGGATTTGTAATCAGATTTTGTAGATCCCGAATTATCTACACCCGAAAAGAGGTTGTAAATGGTAGAACACGAGAAGTTGTCCTTATTTTCGTTGATAACGAAGAGAATTCCCACAGCCTAAAATTAATTGGAGAAAAGGCGGAAAAGTATGAGAATTTGGAGAGAGGACAAATCGTGATTATCAGGAATACAAGCATCAATCCCAAGCCTACAATTATGTTTACGCACACGGAGCTCCCAGAAACTACAATCATATCCCCAACTGAAAAACCAAAACCAAATCTAGAGGATTTTCTCCAACCTCTGCCAGCTCCAAAGACCCCTAGCAAAAAAGACGAGCTCGTCCAGACTCTGCCAACTCCAAAGACTCCTCGCAAAAGACGCCAACTTGATAGCACAACTCCCTTTACCCAGCCGTTTGAAGAAGGACTCGAACCTCCCAATAAATTAAACAAAAGATTATTTGATTAATCAAAATCTATAAAAGAATTGTTAAAACATAAGTAGTAAATAAAAGCGAAAAAATGATTGTCGAAGAGAAAGATTTGAGATTTAAACACCCTTGCGCTATTTTAACCAGTGGCCCATCGTCTTCGGGGAAGTCTAGTTTTGTGATTAAGCTTCTTGAAAACATAGATTCGCTTTTATCACCAGAACCAAAAGAAATTGTTTATTGTTATGGAGAATTTGGCACTCATATATTAACGCTGGAAAGTATGGGTGTAAAAACGTATAGTGGAACCCCCTATGATGACCTATTAAAACAACAAAAGAAGCCATTTCTGTTAGTGCTTGATGATCTAACTAGTAGTGTGGGAGAGACTTGGCTAGAGGACGTTTTCACAAAGAGATCTCATCACAATGACTTTTCTGTTATTTTCATAACACAAAATGCATTCGACAAAAAACTTCGTGTTCCCCGAATTAATTCACAGTATTTGATTCTAATGAAAGCTCCGAACGCCTCATTACAAATCCGAACATTGGGGTCCCAACTGTTTCCCAAAACAAAAGGGTTTTATGATGCATATTGCGACGCGACGGCAATTCCGTATCAATACTTATTAATAGATCTTCACCCTACAACTCCAAATCACCTGCGTCTCAGGGCGAACATCTTTCCAGGCGAAATTCAGACGGTTTATAAGTTATAAAAAGACCATAAATACAGAAGTGTTTACCATCAGTAATGTCTAGCCATTTGAAATTTTTAAAATCTTTGTCATCTATAAAAAGCGAGAGAAAAAGAAGGGAATTTGTAGACAATTTGGAAAAAAAGCAAATAGAGTTTTTAGTTGAAATTTGTTATAATTTATTGAAGGGTAACATAAAATTGACCAAAAAACAGAAAGAACGTTTATTGCCTCACGCAGATTTCATAAGGGCAGTTGCCAAGAAAAGAAGTACAAACGGAGCGAAAAAAATACTCCAAAAAGGCTCCGGAATTCCGTTTGCTGCTTTCATTATACCTGCAGTCTTGGAACTGACTAAAAGACTGTTGCAATGAAAAAATTTTTTTTGGTGCCTCAAGATCTTTATGAGGGCTTTATGAAGGGAGTTTCTCTTGACAATTTTTCCGACAAGATTGTAGACAGTGTTATGGCTGATAAAAAAATGAATTCCTCAAAAAAGAATTTTTTGTTGAATCAGAGACTTCCAGGATTTTTGAAGCATAAAAAAATCATTGAGTCAAAGCCTGTTAAAGTAGAATTAACTAATGGAACTATTGCTACCAAAATTAACGAAAATTTTGTTGAAAATTCAGCTGAGGAAACTGGATTACCTAATCTTATTCCTCAGAAGATAGCTCAGACAGAAAATCTTGAATCTGAACTCATAACAACTCGAGAGCAGTCATTAAGAACTCCAGAACGCGTTGAATTTGAACCCTCGGTTAGACCACAAACACCAGAAAACCTTGCGCCCTCAACTTCAACTCCAATCAGTCGATTTGGTACCAATCTTCAAAAACAAGATCGGAAAAGCGCCTACAATGCTTTGCTAGGTCAACTAAAAGCAAATGCCAGAGATTTTGGTTTATCCCCAAAAGGGAGAATTTCGAAGCCTAACAATAATGGATGGTATGGACATAGTAATTGGAGAGCCGTAATGAGCAAATGGCTAAACGAAGGCCAAGGTCAAAATATAAGTGGTGAGGATACTCTAATGAAACGCTTACAAAATGACAAAAGGACCAGAAATCATTTGGAGACATTGCTACGCCTCAATAGCCCCCCAATGCGCCTTAAAAAAAATCAGCTAGGAAATGGATTAAAAATAAATGACTGGAAAAAAATATGTAAGTCTATAAATACATTTTACTTATCTTGCTTATTTACAAAAAAAATGTATTTGCCTGAAATCCCTAATCAGTGTGGAAAATATTCTGACTTTATCTTTTGCTTCCTTTACATTGGTTCACTACTAGGATTTTTTAGCATTTTTGCTCTGAAAAAACTCCCAAGTTATGGACGAAAGGCAGATTCGGAAGATAATGAGAACCCACCCTCTAACCAGAACCAACTTCATTGAAGTTTTATCAATTGATGAAGTAGAGATACCCCGAAAACTTCCAGCATCATACATAATTAATACAGATCCCTCGACGAAACCTGGTAGTCATTGGACCGCACTTTTTTTTCAGCAATCTCTTGAAAAACCCCTCTTTTTCGATTCCTTTGCATGCCCCCCTCCCCATCAGATTTCTAATATTTTTCCGAATGTAATCAAATGGACAATCCCTGTTCAAGGCATTTTTTCGGATGTTTGTGGACATTATTGTATTTTGTTTATCTATCTACACAGTCTTGGTTTATCAAACCACGAAATTGCTTTGAAACTCTCAAAAATCGATGATAAAAACATGAAATCAATAATTAAATCTATATTAACAATAGAACAATAAATAAGATATAGTGACAAGTATCGGCAAAACTTGTTGTATATTTTCAAAAAAAATTACGTTATTGTTTCAATTGTTTATTAACGAATCAAATAACAGAAACAAGCTCCAAGGGGTACGCATTGTAAGAATTTCCCTCGCGAATTTGTAGGCAGTTTAAGGTGAAATAAGTGACTACTTTTCGATGTTTGACGTAGTAGAATTGCCTCAGATTGATGTCGAGATACCCATTATATGCAGGATATCGGTTGGACCCCAAGACCGTAAAATTAACGAACGTGACTGGCAGGGGTCTAGGAACTCCATAATTAGTCATCAGTTTTAGGTTTTTAATTTCCTTTAAAATCTCGGCTCTGGAGTGACGGTCAAAGATGAGCTCCTTCAGTCCTAAGACATCAATTTCGTATTTTTCGCACAAATATTGGAGAAGAGTAGGCATTATTGCAGACAAATTAGAAAAAAATTTATTGATCCGAGAAAAAACAAAAAGTTACGACAAAGTGAATAACAAAAGGCGAAGACTGCGTGGGGCTTTTATAGATATATTTATTTGGAAGAGGCCTCCAGCTTTGGAAGAATTTTGTGAAGACAAATTCGAAAGTCCGTGTCATATTTTGCCCCAGTCATGACCAGTTTACCAGAAGTGAAGACCAACACTGTGATTTTTGGGCGTAATAATCGCATGTTTAGACCCGGAAAAATCTCAGGTTCATAAAAACATTGAACGCGGTCCAAGTCATACAGCTTTGTTAAGTTAATCTTTTTTCCAAAATTAAATGAAGAAACAATATTTTGCACTTGGAACTTGCTGTATTTTACATCGAAATCCAAATACTTTTTGACGTCCTCAAATGATTGCCTTTAAAAGTTTTTTGTCGTTCTAAACAGTTTCCTTACCTGCTCTGGGCGATATTTTTACAGCCCGTTGACACCATTTTGCCGGACTTGAATACCAAGACAGTAGAGTAGCCCATTTTTATAATAACCGCACCAAATTTTTCAGGGTTATATTTTACTTCCGGATGTCCTTGTTTAATCTTTAACAAATCGACTTTGCCATCTTAAAACATTTTAATATTTTTATAATTTTTTTCTTACTCGAGGATACTGTAGCAATAATATTTTGAATAATATAACGACCTTCCATGACCTAAGCAAAAAATTAGACTAAGCTGAAATATCGGTGGACAAATTTCTTTGAGAGTCGATCATAAGGCACGAGTCCATTTCGGACTCAACAATAAGAATATAACCCTCAGAGGGCACGGGCTTCGAAAATCGAATATTGACGCTTGTGGCACCTCTTCTTATTAGATCAAAAGAATTCATATCTTCTTGATTTGTAGTCATGTTGAATACATAAATTGCATGGCCTTCTTTGAACATCTCCCGGGTGATACAGTTGGAATGGCTTGAGAAAGCGAAACTTAAATTATCTTGGAGATCATAGTATGCCCTGAGATAACAGTTAGTTTCATAATTCAGCTCGTAAGGAGCGTTGGGATAATTGAGCCCCCCAGCTGATAAAGTTATTGACCTCACGTGCGCATTAATGAAATTAAAAGGTGATTTTTTCGACTCTGAGTTAAACGAATTATTGCTAACGATACCCAAGACTACTCTTCGGGGAACCTGTTCAGTGAATAAGGTAGTAGAAAATTCGGTCTGGTTTGGAGAAATGAAGTAGTGTTTCATTTCTGAGCGCTTCATTGGATACATAGCAGGATTTTTTAGAAGGGTGTTGTTTAACCCCACATTTACTCCATCATTTAGCTCGAGACTCTTTGTGTAAAATTTACAATCTGTTATTACGAGCCGATAATCATTTTCATCATGAATTTCAAGACAAAACGCCTCTCTGTGAGGCATGATTTCGACTTCGAGCTGTAAAAAAAACTTTTTGGACATTTGCTTTAGAACGTTACCTGCATATGATTGAGTAAATACAAAGGTTGTTGGAATAAATTGGCAAATATTTTTGTAATAAATTGGGCTTTTCCATCCAAAAACAATGAACGGCGTGATTTAAAACCTGAATCTTCGCTGTTATCAATTTTCTCGGAAAATTTCCACCCAATACATCCAAGATGTGTTTCCAACGAATCTCGAGGGAATGTCAGAATACAATCCCAATATGTTTTGAAACTCTGCATAGAATTTGAATTGTAAATTTCTTGGCCATTTAACAAAATTTTCATATTTGCTATATATGTGGCTCCTAGCCCCTGGATTACACTAACTTTGTCGGTGTCTTCAATTTTCACCCATTTATCATCGTCGCTTTTTTTCTGGAGTTTAAATGTAGTCATTAGATATGATTTGCTGAGATCCAAGTATCCGGATCCTGAGTCTATCCGGAAACGGTATGGAGCAGTTTCGATAGGATTCAATGTCAGATTCTCATTGTATTGAGATCGACAGGCAGAGATATTAGTTTCAGGTAGATTGAACAAGTTTAAGGCTGAGGTTACAGTCTCCGAACTTTTGGCATCAATTTTCTTCATGATTTATCATCATTTAATTAGAGTTTATTAGAGTATTTATAGATATAACGCTTATTTTCAAGTAATTTAATTTATTAGCGTATTGGACCCAAGGCATCATTTCTTTTCTTGATATTTCTCTTAACTTTTTTCACACCTCCTCCATGCTGTAAATAACGGTTCGTATTCTTTCGCAAAATATTTTTGGCTCCTTTCTTCAAATTATTTGAGAGGGCGTCGCGAACACTTGACTCGCGGGACAAGTCGTCTAATATTCTCCCTCCAGTGGCCAATGTTTCTTTTCCAATATCTTGTCCAACTGATTTTAAGACTGGTGATAAAAACCTCCAAAAAGAGCTTAATACATTACCCAGTCCGCGACCATTTTGGGGTCTTCCAAATCCTCGTTGTAAAATTTGGCCCTCAAAGAAATTTCCACCTCCAACTTGAAAAAAATTATATGTTTTTGATGTATCAAAATTTACATGTACCATTTTTATCTATAAATACATACTAATATAGCTCTCTATTTGCACATATTTATAAACTTTTTGTAGCTATGACTGAAAATTTACTTATGAATGATCTTATGCTGGATGATTGTTTGTGTCCACCTCAACACAGGTGCTTTCGATTCAAAAGTTTTGATCCGCCTCGATTTTGTCTCCCTTCATGGTTCAATCCATCGCTTACAATGGATCAGAATTTTAGCTTGGTTACATTAACAACTCTTCATGTTGTCTTTACTGTATTCCTGGCCCTTACCGCTATAATACTTGCTGGCTTTATATACAAAAAACCTACTCAACGGAAAGTGTACTTTCAAACCCCTAAAAGTCCCAGTTACAGTAATTTGTGTTGAATATTGTATATAGTATTTTTTAAATAAAACCCAATTATATCTTCATTCTAAATTTCAAACATGAGTTTACATATTTCCTTAACATTAAAAACAAAAAAAAATCGGTATCCACAATACTTTTGTATAAAATGACAGCAAAAATTTTTCAAAAGCGTGGGGGCGAATCGAACTCCCGGAAAAAATATTTTCCCAAAAGGTTGGAGTGCATTTTTGAAGGGGGAAGATCGATTCTTTTCTAAAATCAGAATAGGCTAATGAACGTTTTTTCTTCTATTTACTTGATGGTAAGGCAAAAAACATACGTACAGATAAAATAAAAAAATGAGATTAATGTTTAAAATTTATATCCAAAAGGGTAAATGGTAACCTTATCAGGCCCTATTATTCCCTTGTTGTTAGTGGGGGTGTAAAATTTTGTCTGTTTTTTTGTGAAAACGCTTCCTCGTTTCATGGATGGCTTCAGCATTCGGCGTTGGGTCTTCTCAATATTAAAAGGACTTCGGTGGAGAGTCAAATTTTTTAACCTCTCAAAATTCAGTTGAGCACTTGTAGTTGAATCCAATGTAATACCGCGAATTTTCTGTAGATACTCAATCTCTCCATTAGCTTTTTTTAGTTTTAATCCGTATTGTTTAGGTCCTGGTCCACAGTATTCCAAAATCTCGGCATTTGGTAGCTCGTCCTTCATTTCCCCCAACATATCAGACGATTTGATAGGACACCTGCCTTCCGGATAAGCCAAGATTAGAGAGTCTGTAAGTATTTTAAAAATTGTTTTTTCATTTTTTTAGACTAACCTGTATCCAAATAGAGGATCTTGGCACCTCCTTCAGTAGCCTTCTTCATCTGTCTAAACAGATGTAATCTTGCAGCGGCTGTTGTATATATAGCTATATATATATTGTTGAATTCCAAATCTTCCAAAAAATCTTCTTTGGTCTTTACATGAATGGCACATGTGTTGCTGTTTAATATGACGGTTCTTTGAACTTCCAATGTCTCATTGCTCATAATAGTATGATAGTCCTCTTCATTTCGACAGAAATTAAGCTGCAAAGCACAGAGAAGAACAAAATTATTATCTTTGATTAACCTACTTTTGCGAGAGAAGATCTTTGACAGAATTTACCCCAAAAGGAGTTCAAAAAAATCTTGTTGTTATATCGCTTGGCTTTGTTGGGCTTCCAATCTTCAACCTCCAATTCGATTCCAAATCCATCTTTGTACGCCTTCAAAAACTGATCAAAATCGGCTGAAGTTTTGAGATAATTTGGAATTTCTGAGGCCAACATTTTCTCTCGGTAAAATTTCCGTATTGGCTCTTTGAATAAATTTTCCGAAAATTCATCGAATACTATTTTCTCGTAGATTCGAATAACACGATAACCATTCCTTAAGGCTTCTTCCAATTCAATATGAGCCAGAGTGCATGACCAGCCTCTTTCCAAATCAGAATGTTTACAGGTAGCCTCCTCATAACTAACAAAATTGGAGTTTGCAAATTTTTTTGCGCACTTCTGACACAAGGTGTATAATATCGACTTTTCGATCTGAAAAAATGTAGAAAAAAGTTTTTTTTGAAAACTAAAAAAGAAGTAAACTGAGGAAAGTGCTTACCTTCAAAGGTATTACAGGTATAAACAAGTCATCTGGAGGTATAATAAAAACTTTGTAGAGGCCTTTCTCAAACCCCATATCCTCGGGACATGTCCAATTACAATCCTGATTTAATGCAACGATTCGTGGTTCCCCCACAGGCATTGGTACCATAAATAAAATAAAAGGATAAAGCGAATTCACGTCGAGATATCCCATTACATAATTCCCTTCTTTTTTGAAGTAGAGGCATAGAGAAGCGGTTCTTCCACCAAAGAATGCATCTCTTGGGTGTGCTGGTCCTGCATTCTCCAATTCATTTTTAAAAAAATCATCCATTTCCTTATTAATCTTGAGTTCTTCATTGATCTCGTGTTCCCAAAACGTAATGACAACATAACCAGCATTTTCCAGAGCCTTGGTTCTCTCTGTTGAATCCTTGAAGGATGCTTTTTGAGTCTTCCTTGATCCCATTATTTTCAGTGGGTCTTTGTTACAGGTAGGGCAACCATGGTAGTAGCATCCATTAAATTCTACTACCAGATTGCCCTCCTTAACAAATCCATCGGCGCTGAATTTCTTTCGTTTTCCTCCAATCAGAAGCTCCAATTTCTTTTCACCTTCGGGAGAGTCTCGAAATTGCAATGAAGGGAGGAAGTTCTTTTTCAAATATCTGAGAAATTTGAGAGCTACGGCTGACTGATTGATCTGGTTGCCAAATTTGCTTTCATTTTGGATAACAAGCGTGTTTTCCGGTAGATATGATTGACGGTAATCACGCATAACAGCACTTGCTAGAGTAATCGAGTGGTACCATATATCTTCAAATTCTTTGCCTTTCAGTTCTCTCATTGCTTTGCGATGTTCACATACTGCATGGGCCAAAATTTTCACATCCGATTCACAATAAGCGAGCAATTCTTGTTTGAAATCAAATATTTTTTTGTCCGTAGTTCTATACCATTCTTCAAGTTTTTCTCTCTTCTTAGGCATCATTTCCTCAACCCTGGAAAATGTGTTTTTAAAAGATTCGTTCGTATAATATGTCTTCTCAAAGCTTTGATCGTATAAGGTGTCTTTTTTTCGGCAGAAAAAATGCAAAAAAAATGCCAGCGAAAAAAGACGCGTCTGTTTAATGCGTTTTATTTGCTAAGAGATTTCTCATCAAAATTCTGCTCTTAAGGTATGTATTTTCACCATTTTTTGTTTTTATGTTTTTAGGAAAAAGACTCACATATATTCCTTCAAGCTGGGGTATGGTCCAACATATTCATAATTCTCCTCTCTATTAAATTCGTGAGGGAAATCACCCTTCTTCTTTATCCCAGACTCTCCTTCTTCTAATGGATATATTGAAGGTAACTCAGACAGTGCGCAATTCAGATGATTTATGCTATCTCGAAAATGTAGACATCCAAATTCTTTGCCTCCACTTAAGGTTAGATCATAGATTCGCTCGCCATTAGTTATAATCGTGGGAACTCGCGATTCTAAACGGGTAAAATACATTTTTGAAAAAAAGTTTTTTTCTGTGCAAAAAAAACTTACGATTTTCAGCCAAGATATGTTTTATGATCAGGTGTAAATCATAGCGGCCGGAGTTATGCGCGATACAAATTGTTGTTTTAGATGGTTCAGTGATTGATTTCACATAGTCATAAAAACTTCGGGCGGGGTTTTCAGAATTACCTAAAAAATAAATTTTATTTACATTTATCATACCATGAGGGATACTCCAAAATTTCTTCTCTGATCCACAGTTTTCGCACTGCCCCATTTTCCATGCCCCATCGGTCATACATTTTTGGCACATAACTTGGCAGCATGCCATGTTAACATTATGCTTGCGGATATCATCGGCCACCACCTCTGTCTGAGTGCATTCAAAGTCGTAGATAACCATTTTATATTCGGGTTCTTGGTCTGGGATGTCAATCCGAGGAATAAAGCATCTATGACCTATTGGCCTTTTTCGTCTGCATGGGATACAATATTTAGTTCCACATGTATGCCCAATTCGCTTTCTGTACTTGGATTTGCATTCCTGGCAAGTTGCGTATCTAGTGCACATTTTTTTGCAATGTTCTTCAAAGCATTCAGTTGTTTGAAAATACGTCGAACAGCTTGAGCAATATACCAATGTTTCTAGAGAACCTTTGCAGGGGTACTCGGGGCCTTTCCTTCCACAATTCCCGCATTTTTGTATGCATCTCGCACTGTGAAGAGCATCACGGTCGTAGGTACAGTTACATTGATAACACATCTTTCTTCCACCGAAATAATTAGAGGAAGTTACGATCGCCTCAAAGTGATTGTGGATAGCATCATAGGCAATAGGTAGAATCGTTTTGGCCTCACGTAAATTTCCAGATGTAAATATATGAGGATCCTTGAAGTTCCTTGTCCCATGAATTACTATGACGTGTGGAGCGTTGGAGGCATCTTCTTTATCGAGGTAGGACTGTAGTAACCTTACTGTCGGCTCCATCTCCAAATCATGTGCAGGATCAAGGGGGAGTCCCAAATCCTTCAATGTCTTCGCCACGCTCTCCTTGAAAATTCGACTGTTGGTGTTGCACATTTGATGTGCGGTGCGCGATTTATTTCCATAGCGCTCAGTCCCGTGGTATAGCTTGCAAATTAAGATGGCCAATGGTAAACATAATCGACGTCTTTCTCTGTATTGAAACACACCAGTTTCTTGATTATATCCTGTGGCGCCATCAGTGCGATGCCCTCCTCTGATTCCTCCAGTCCGATCTCCATTTCGCAAATCCCTCGACAGATATGCAGTCATCAAAATCTCAAACGGTCTCCCCAATAAATTGACTTGTCTGTGAGACTGTTGAACTTTAGACAAAGCCGTGAATAATAGATCTGGAGAAAAGTTTGCAACGTTCTGCATTCCCGTGTACACAGTTTTTCCCAATAGACCTCCTTGAAGTGATAGGTTTATGCGCATTATATCGCGGCCTGGTTTTGTCCTTTGAACTGTAAAAATAAGATTCATTTTTTCCCGTCTTAACATACCTTCAGATGCCATGTCTTCGAACATTTGATTAATTATTCTTCTGAAGGTATATTCCAAATTGTCAATTTGACTCGCTTCGGACATTTTGTAACTAACTGCGAGACGTAGTTCAGGGAATGTTTCATTTTGTACGAAGTTTTTGGCTATGAGAGTGAGTCCACTACAGAAAAGATTAGACATTCTTATTTTTTCTTACTTTCCACCTCCTACTTGATTGGAGAGTTCCTCTGGATCACTGGTATCTGCATCATATGCATCATCATATCCACTATTTGAGTTATTTTCAGAATCTTCCGTATCAAGTTCCGATTCATCGTCCGAGTCCGATAGTTCCAATTCTTTCATCAAAACTTCTCTGTAGTTTATTTCTTCATTCTTATCAGGTTCGGATTCGGTTTCCGAAAGAGCCAGATCTTTAGCCAATATATCTTCGTCCATCTCTTCTTCAACTTCTGTATCACTCATGGCCAAGTCGTTCTCAAGTATCCAATCACTGTTCTCCATTTCGACCTCTACATCTTCTGAACCCTCTAATTCTTCTTTCCATTTATACTCCATTTCAATTCTGGCCTTCATCGCTTTCAGCTTACTTTCGGGTTTCCCTCTGGCATGCCCATCCTTTTTAATCTCACTATTTTCAGGTTCATCAAAACTCCATGGCAAATATAAAACTTCATGCAGCATTTCTGGCACATAAAACCTCCAGCCTCTGTCATAATCCTGTTTTTGGTCTTGGTGGACAATGCATACGGCTGTAATAATATTTACCGATTAAACTATTAATGGTTACACAGAAGTATATTTAAAATGGAAAAAATCTTACATCTTGCATCATCAGCACTCGTCTTTTCAACGAAAGTGGTGGCAAAATCACCAACATCAGTAAGGTATTCTTGAAGAAATTGCTCTGCAATAAAAATATCTTTGATAAACAGATTTTTTTTTTAAAAGGTTTACTTTATGTTAAACAAAAGGTTTCACTCACCAAAATCTGTCCTTCCTTTAAGATAATTTAGCAGCCCTTCTGAAGTCTTCAATCCCCCTTCATAGTCTTGCTTCTGGTCTTGAAGGACGAGGCATTCAACTGTAGAAGATTAACATATTAAAATAGTACTAATACGTTGAAGTAACCTACATCTTGCGTCATATGTGTTTGTATCTTCAAAACAGTTGACAAAATCACCAATGTCAGTAAGGTAATCTTGAAGAAATTTCTCTGCAATATAAAATGGGTTAAAAAAAAATTTTTTTTGTAAGTTTACGTTATGCGATAAACAGCTTGTTTTAAAAGTTCACTTTATGTTAAATAAAAGGTTTCACTCACCAAAATCTGCCCTTCCTTTAAAATATTGCAGCAGTCCTTCTGAAGCCCTAATTTCGGACGCACCTTTTTCTTCAAGATATTCCAAAACTCCGTTGATAATATTCGTTTCGGATTCATCAGCTAAATTATAAAAAAGGTCGTATTATTAAATAAAAGTACATACATTCAGAATCCGTTTCACCATCCAAGTATAACTCTGACTCCTCTACTAAAAAATAAAAAAAATCATTAGAAAAAATCACATCAAATGAATGAAAATAAACATCAGTTAAAAACATACACTCAAAAGGAATGGCATGCCAATCCTCAGAGATTGTTGGGAGATCCAACAGGGAGCTAGACGCCTCCAGTAGAAACTGTTCAACCTTGTTTAGGTCAATGCGCCGAGATTTGGAAGGTTGATGGTTTGGTTCGTTACTTGGACGTTTCATCGTTAACGTTCACAAAATAAGCCGAGTTTGATCTATAAATATGCCGAAAAAAGTTCACCAGTGCACTGTAAAAAGCCGTAAAAAAAAAATGTCATCGTCTTTCTTTATTGTACTACCCAGCTCAGACACCTCTTTTACAACAAATTCTACCTCTTCCTTTTCAGTAATTCTTCCAAAACCATTGAATTTTGATGGGACTTATGTTTGTGGTCTACAGTCCCTCATCTACCCGCATTCTTGGCCATCTATAGGATCCCTGGATGACCAATATATTAGATTATATGGGCACTTTGACCGTACAGTTTTAGTACCTATTCCTAAGAGCAACCATGAAAATATCACCCAACTGGTCGATTTTCTTAATCGTACCCTCGAAACAGGACTTCCTGATTATAAAGGCAAAACGCGCCGCAAACGATCAGCATCTACTGAAAACAATAGTCTCTCCCTGCGCGAGAAATTATCAAAAACTGACCTGAGTGTCCCCCAATTACAAAAACACGACATTCCTTTGAATCCAAATGTCATTCCGATCGAAGAGATCGCTGGTGGTCCAAAAAATACGATAGTTGAAGAAGTGCTGAATCCAAGGCCCATTATTGAAGGAGATTTGATATTTAAATATGATGAGAATAAGCAAAGAATTACTCTGAAAATTAACCGTGACGCAATTAAGAAAGTTGAATTTTCATCTCAACTACTGTATACTCTCGGATTCAGTGAGAATGATATTTTAATTAATGGATGTACAGCTAAATATGCTTGCGATCTCTCTGGAGGTCTCAAACATTTAGCAGTTTACGTTGAGGGCCTAACAGAAAATGTCATAGTTGGAAAATTTTGCTCTCCGTTGCTGAGAATCGTTACTGTTCGAGGTAAAACTGGCGATGTCATTGACCAGCTTTATGATGCTCCATTATGGGTTAATGTAATTGCAAAGAGTGTTTCCATTATAAATGTGCAGATCCGAACCTTGGATGGCCGATTAGTTCCTTTTGCTTGGGGAAATTGTATTTTAACTATTACTTTTCGTAAAATCATATCTTTTTAAATGTCTAAGTTTATTAAACTTTTTACTGATCTTCGATGTCCATATTCTTTTACTGGACCCTCCACGCTTTATAAACAACAGAAAGGGAAGAATCGAACCAGTTATGATAAAATTCGGAGGGAGTTGGCTAAAGAAAAAAGTTACTCTCTACATAAACCGCGTCGTCTTCGAATTAAGAGACTTAAGACTATCCCCCGAGGCTGGATGACGGATCTTCAGGTTGATTTAGCCGATTTTAGAAACCTTAGCCCTCACAACCAAGGACATAATTATTGCTTAGTTGGAGTTGATGTGATGTCTAGACGATTTTTTGCAGCTCCTCTCAAATCCAAGAAATTTAACGATGTTAAAAAAGGGTTCAAGGAAATTTTCTCTCAAATGCCACAGTTACCCTTAGTAATTTTTAGTGACAAAGGAAAAGAATTTGAAAGTCGGGAGATCTTGAGTTTTTTCAAATCTCTTAATATTCAAAAGCATCACGGGGAAAATATCGAAACAAAGGCTTCGATTGCCGAAAGAGCTATAAAAACAATTAAAACGCGTCTCAATAAGTATTTTACGGCTTTCGGGACTTTGAATTGGATTGATGTCCTTCCTACAATTGTTAATGGGATTAATAACTCCATATGCCGCACTACCAATTCGGCTCCTATGGATATAACAGCAGAAAATTGGTTACCCATTTGGAAAAAGTTATACAGTAATGTTTCCGATCCTGGAAATTACATCTTTAAAGTTGGAGACCATGTTAGACTACTTAAGCCAGATACTGCCTTCAGAAAGGGCTTCAGACCTCAGTTCACAAATGAAATCTTCGTGATTGCGGAGTGTTTGGGAACATCACCTCCGACTTTTGTAGTCGCCGACTTAAATGGTGAAAAAATTGTTGGCCGATTCTATTCCGAAGAACTGTCTTTAGCTTCATAGAACAAATAAAGAAACTATTCTCACAAATATGTTGACAAGGATCCCTATCTCAGCTAAGTAATTGTCTATAAAAGAATCCAAGATACATATTTCAATAAAAAATTTTTTTTTATCTTTCTCAAGAATACAAAAGGAAAAAATTAGCCAAATACTAAAAAATAACAACAAATATGGTAATAAGGAATTTAGTCAATAACCTTGGGGTTTTCTTGAAGTATTTTAAAAAAAATTTTCAAATACCAAAAATAATATAAAAAAGAACTTCAAAGAAACTAATAAACCTCTTCCTCTTCGATGATTTCATTTTTGATGTCATGGAGGCCCATGTCTCTTGGGTTCTGAGGCTCAGCGGAGCTAGGTTCAGGTTGACACTCTTGGACACTCGGGCATGGCTTTGGATTAGACGTTTCTTCTTCTTCCTCGACTTCTTCCACTGGTTCTTTCTTAATTTTCTTAGGGACAAATTCAATCTTGAAATTGGGCTTGTTCTAAAACATTCTTTTTAAGAAGATTGAAAATAACAATAAATATGTAATTAATCTATTAAAAATGAAAAAAATTTACCTTTTGTGGGGATTTCGGTTGCTTGGCCTTGGGATCGAATATGATATCAAACTTGAAGTCAGGCAAGGGGTTTAGAAAATACGTGAGCGATGGCTTTTCGCTTCTCTTGGCGTTCTCTACCGTGGCGATTGTGCCGACCCGAACGTTCTCCAACTTGTCACATTGGGGCCCCTGCACTCTCAATACATAACTCACGTCACGCGAGTCCTTCATAATCACAGAGATGGTGTTAAAACCATTGAAGTTACTCTTTTTCACATGAACTACTCTCTTGGATACTTCATTATCCAGATGAGGGGCCATTTTTCTTTCTTCGATTTGTAAAATGATTTTTACCTTATCAGGCTTGCGCTTTATAAGGGCGATCAATAATATCACCTCTACAATGAAAAAAATCAGTCCCGCCTTCTCTGAATAATAATTATCAAGATCCATGATGCTGATTTTTGGGGATTTTTTCTTCTTTAATAGAATAGCCTACCCTTAACATTTTTTTTGTCATAATATAAGCTCCTCCTACCATTTTTTATATCTTTATATTAGCATTATGTAGATAAGAAATGTTCACTTTTTTTCTGAGGGGGTGTTTTTTTACAAATGCTTTTTTTTATGCTAATTATGGGGTTGAATTCGGAATTTTTTCGCGCTCTGTTTTTTTACCTTTTTTCATGTCGATTTTGGGGGATTTTTACTGTTTTTGTTTTTGTGCGGTTTTCTCCGTCCCCCTTTTTAAAAATTTTCTGTATAATATTTTTTATGACCATATATGCCTATAAAAGCTCTGGCCCTCATTTTTGAGGCCCTAAGCTCCGCCCTCTGATAACATATCTGCAGAATTTGTGGGATTTTTACCTATAAAAGGTCTGGCCCTCATTTATGAGGCCCTAAGCTCCGCCCCTCTCATATCTGCAGAATTTGTGGGATTTTTACCCAATTCTCGAGGGGGGCACTAGCTTCTTTAAGACATACCGCCAAAATACTACAGTAATCCTACGGAGTCATTTAAAAAACACATTAAAGTTGTAACATATCTGCAGATTTTGTGGGATTTTTACCCAATTCTCAGATCTTCTTTAAGACATACCGCCCAGAAAAAAAATACAGTAATCCATCGGAATAATTAAAAAAGCACATTAAAAATCCACATACAAAAAAACATACACCCTCCAAAAAAAAAGTTATAAATATGATAATCACGCACCGCCCCCCTCCCCCCTCAAAAAAAAGTCCTACAGTATCCCTCCGATCATTTTTTTTCATAACACCACAAAATCGGCAAAAAAAAAAAAGTTGCCGATTTTGTGGTTACATTACTACTCATATGGCTGTTCTTGGAGGATGATCACAGGCTCGATTTCCAAGCCAATCCTGCGTGCAATCATTCCAAGGATCTGAAAAAGAACTTACATAGTTGTGAAATGCGTCCTTCTGCTTTCATTATCAGTCTGTCGGGAAAATAATGTGGATTCGTCTCGTCACAGGCCTGCCCCAATCAGCCGCGGCAAGCTGTCACAATACGATGATGGGCGATTTCAAGGCTCGGCCACATTATTTTCCCGACAGACTGATATTTCACCTCAGTGTGAAGTCCAGGGAACAGGCAGGACGTTCGAGGAACGAGAACGGGATATCCAATACAATTCCTGTTCATCGCAGGCATTCCGCTCGTAAAGATAACTCTGAGCTTGGTGATATTAGTTGAAACATCCATTCCAAACAATACTCTCGAAATCAATGAATAATAAAGTGAGGGAGGCATGCGGGGTTCACGAAATAGGATACCGCTTTTCTGCCGAGAAAAGGTATTAATTTTAAAACGTTTAAATTGTGCCACCGATTCTTTCCACTTGCACGACAACCAGTGTTGCCGCAGAGCCAAAAAAACGGGCAGTGTTGGCTTTGTAGCGGAAGAAGGCTTCCAGGTTTTTTATACCTTGTAGTCTGAGACCTGGCGGAAACTGTTTTTCTTTTTTCCTGCCGTTTTCTCTCTTTTCCGCCCTATGGTCAGATTGGTCTCACCACGAAATTGCCTGAATCAGGATGCGCCTTTTTCGGGGATAAAAAGAAAGGAAAAATCCAGTCGTTGGATGGAACGATGTGATGGCTGATGGTATTACGGAACTTACTACATATTAGCATTTTCACAACGTGCTGCGGCGTGCACTATGCACAAAACTCCCAATTTTTCGCACCGTGCATTGACCTCTTCTTGATTTTGCGCTGTGAACTTGCTGCGACGTAAGCTTTTCTCAATTGCGCCGCCGCGTCGTTGCTGACGAGTTTTCACAATGCAAACGATTTTCTTGAGGTTTCCACGGTGCGCAAAGGTGCAAAAGTTCAAGATGCACTGCGCGACAGCAAGAAAATGTCCAGACGCTTTGCGAAATTGCTAATATTTATTAATTTTCCTATTGCTAAATTTTTTATTGCTAGACTATCAAACTGGTAAGTATTGTCTGAGTTTCCGAGTGCCTTTTCAGAGACCTATCTGCAACTTCTCACTTGAGAGGCCTAGTTATTTCAGGGTGAAGAAAAGCATCTATGGCAGAGTGGCACATACGTACATGAACGCGGCCTATACTACGGTCATGAATGTTAATACTATGATAGTTTTCTTTGTGTCCTTACATAATGGAAGCCATAAATTAATCAGCTAGTTCAAGGGAATTTAGCTCAATGAATCACTTGTCACCAAAACGACATTCAACTTTTATCCAGACTGATCATACAAAAGGTAATAATAAAATAAATGCTAAGGACTTTCCAATTCAATTCGCATGCTATCTTCTGTTGCGTCTCTTCAACTGAGCGATGATCACTTCTCCAAAAAACAAGGCGATTGCGATTAGCTCCACCACGAACAATGTAATCGCTGTCCCTATATAGGGGTACTTCGCTGAAGAAGTATTTTTCAAACTTCTGTTACTCACCTCCAATCACTTGAACATCAGATGGAATACAGCCCACTTGGCTTCGATAGATCCGCAGATACTTATTCCACAGCTTGTCTATCTTGTAACGCTCCCGTTCCAACAGCTGATTGATTTGGTCCATGAATGGAAAGCCTTTCTTGAAGACGAAATATCCCCAAGCTGGGGGGAGTAGCATGTCTGTCATGTAGATGTTGCATTTTTTGTAGGCTTCAAATGAGAGATGTTCGTCTTCCTAAAGAATTTCAGAACTTTTCGCGTAATTTACATGACGTAGTTGTATTATTTGTATCAAAATCCAACCTACATATCTCAATAGGACCGCGCCCGGCTCATCGAGCAATTGTAGGACGTGCTTTATCGACGTTCCCAATCTCAGCGGATTCCCACTGAACGCATGTCTCATCCGAGTAAAGTCGGATGCGTTCGACTTCATTACAGTGTCATAAAAGATGCTGGCTTTGGTCAACTCCACCAGATGTAATGTCCGATCCGCCATCATGGCGGTGAATTGAGAGAATGTCTTAAAAGGCAGTGGAGGCTTGGGTCGGACAAGGTTGGAGTAGATGTAGGAGCTGAGCACACCCATCACAACTGTGCATTGCACTAGGGAGAAGACAACAACCGAGAATTTTCCTGCAAAAGGAAGTTATTTTTAACGGCTGAAAAGGTGTCTTAAAAATTTGCGCATGATCTCCAGATTCTACATAGTATGGTAATTTTCATATTACAGAAAGATTTTACGGCAGAAAAGTATGACATTAATGATGTATATTATCAGTCTGTCGGGAAAACAATGTGGATTTTTATCGCGCCTTGAAATCGCTCATCATCTTTTTACGACGGCTCGCCGCAGCAGAGGACAATGTTACGCGACTTCTGCGGTGAGAGACATTTCGCTGCGACAAAGCCACATTATTTTCCCGACAGGTTGATACTGGGTGGGCCTAAAAACTTCTCCTTGTTAATACGGTGCGCTAACTCGCATAAAGCTTGTGATACGACGATGAAAAAAATCCACGATGCATGCCGACCACGCGCAGTGCAAAATTTTTGGTCTGGTCTATCGGGAAAATAATGTGGACCTTCTTGTGAAGTCTGTCAGGAAAATAATGTGGATTCGTCGCAGAAAAAAATTTTTGCGCCTCGTCGTGGACGCACGTCAAATCTCCAGCCGCGGCTTCCCGTCGCAAAGCGATGATTGGCGCTTTCAAGGCGTCACAAATCCACATTATTTTCCCGACACACTGTTAGAAAACTTTGGTCGTTAAATATTTTTTGAGCGCCCGCATTCCCACCTGCCATAGAGCTGTATTGCAAGGTCTCGGATTGCAGTAATTGAAGTCGCAACATTTGCCAGACCACCTCAATGAACCTTTTCTTTGTGTTCCTCTGCAAACAATGAAATCGGAAATACCATGCGGCTAAAAACCAACCATCTGGATTTGGGCTTCGATTCGGTTGACGAAAATGCATAGAATGCACTGCAAAAGCAGTGCAACTCCAATCCCAATCCAGGAGGTGTACTGATAGCTTTGGAAGAAGGCAAAGAACTTGTTCCACGTGTTCTCCGGGACATTGAGAAAGGCCTTGCCGACGGACTGAAAAAGTTGCCATAATTACCAACGGTTTGTCGGGAAAATAATGAGCACAATGTCGCACTGAAAATCGCATCGCTGCCGAGGAAATGAATTGTGTCGCGGCAAAATCAAATTGCTTTCCACTTCATTGACGTTTTGAAGTGGAACGGTATTGTGCTCATTACTTTCCGGACAGACTAATAGGCAAGCCAGAAAGTCTCAACACGCTTGCAGGCTGCACTTCAGGCCGCACGGCAACCCAGGGAGTCTCCCGCCTCGTCTCGGCACTTCGCCCACCTAGTATCGGTTGAATTCAAACGAAATGTCAAAAGTGAATTTTTCGTGTGGTTTTCCGACCGAAAAACAATTTTTCTCGGAATTATTTTATTTCTTTTGCCAATTTTGACACTTCGTTTGGACGAAACTCAAAAGTGGGCGGGAGACATTTTTGTTCTATTTTGGGTTGCCGTGGGCCGGGTCAACTGTTGCCCTTGACTGATTCTGCAAAACATCAGCTCCTTCCAGAATTCGAAATTCGACAGTTTCTTAAAAATCAACTCACAAAGTAAACAGCATTGGTAAAGTCAAAGTATTTCCGTCGTTCATCGCTTTGCCCAACGCAAAGCGCGATCGTATCGACCGTGTCGTTATGAACGTACCCTAGTAGACCAGTTACAGTGTCGTTCTCCTGAAAGGCAACGTATTGGGAGGCATCTTCATGGTATGTCTCGGTTTGTCGGGATAATAATTTGGATTTGTCGCAGCAAAAGTCTTGTGCCAGTCGCACACCAAATCTCCAGCCGAAGCTAGCCGTCGCAAAGTGGTGATTCGAAGGCACGACGAACCCACATTATTTTCCCGACAGACTGATAGAATAATATCATATTATGATTTGCGTATCTTAATGCACGCCTATTCCGTTATACATAAAAAATCATTCTGTGAGGTTACGTATTTTACGCTTCCACCGGCTTACCACATCCCCTATAAATGGTTGCTCCGAATGGATGAATAGCGGCTCCACAGTCAAGCCCAGTCTGTCGGCAAAGAGCTTCATAATCTGAAAAGCGGTGTTGACGACAAACTTTCTCTTTACAAGGAAATTTTCGAAGTTCGATGTTCAGTTTTTCTTTGTATGTTGGGTGAATCTTGGGCTGTGTTCGTATATGAATCCCTTGAAAGTTTAGCTCGCACCTTGCCGGCATGACCGAGGGGGAATTCAACGAATCTCTGTTGCCGGGAGTGCTTGGAGACAGTAAGAGGTTTGCGCCATCTCTTACAATTAGCCAATTTTTCGCAGTTGAAACTTTTTTAAAAATACCCCCTTCTCCGGTAGAAACAAGGCTGAAATACATATTTTTGTACATAAACTCCCAAAAAGGTATCCAATTTTGACAAATTTTAGGAGTAAAAATTTCGGGGTTTTCGCACGAAACTAATAGCAAAGAAACAGCCGAAAAGTTTTCTCTTGCCGCTCTCCCCTGTTGCGTATTCTGTCGGCCGCAAAGATCGTCACATATCAAGGCTGCGCCTGCAAATTGCGAGCTAAAATTTTTAAGGAATGATACGTGGCCCGTGCCCAAAATGTGCGCCAAATTTAAAGAAAATTTGAGTGTCGCACTTGTTACACTTCCCCTTTCAGCTCTACCCTTTAATAGGGTAGAGCTTTGTGCTTACCTCCGTATGAAGTCCGGGAAACATGCAAGTCTTCTTCGGATTCTGCACCGGATATCCTATGCATTTCGTGTTCACAGCCGGCAATCCACCCGTATACAGTACTCGCAATTTAGTGATATTAGTAGTGTTACTCATTCTCGAAAACAATATGAATCGCCATTAAAAAGAAGGAATATATTGCGTTTACCCGACGAAATTGAATCTTCTCCATAAATGTCAACAAAATGGCAGTGCTTTTTCCTGTGTACATGTAATAGCTCTGCTTATATGTGAGGAAACCGAGCACAAGATGCGGGTGGCATTACGGATCCGTGGGCGTTGTGTTGACAAGGCAAGTCTTTGACGTGCAGGGAAAAGAATATAAGCACTAGGCGGGAAAACAGAATTGACGCGCCGCGCAAACACCTTGTCGCACGAAAAAATTCGTGGTGCTCTGCGACCCCGCACAGTGCGAAACGACCGTACCTTTGCCAGGTTCGTATGAAAAAAAGATGATTTTTTTGAGGAAACGTTGCTTCTACGGTAGAAATAAGCTTTGACGCCAAAATTCGGAAAAAAGTCACATTTTTTGCCAAGTTTTGTATATTTCTACGAAAAAATGTTTCTAAATTACTTGAGTGTCGGGAAAATAATGAGCACAATGCCACGGCGCCGAGACAAATTGGTGCTGAAGGGAAAAGCAATTTCATTTTGCCGCGACACAAGTCATTTTCTCGGCGACGATTATACGACATTTTTCTCATTATTTTCCCGACAGACTGATATTATATCAGTCAAAGAACAATGTGCAACCTCTTTGTTATCTCTCTTGTTTGCGTGACATTTGCTACGCACTACGTGCATTTCTGTATTTTATCGACGTCTCTTTCCTTGTTTTATTGTCTTCTACTGTGTTTATGCTCTCAATGAGTCCGAAGGGGACACCCAATGCGTCTCAAAGCCAATCACGAGACATCGTAGTGCGAGAAAAAGTGGGGAAATGTTGATATTACACCAAAATTGGGCTTTGCTTCTCCGAAAAATGATTACTGTCTGAAATTCTGCTCTATTCTGCAAAAGCAACGACTTTGATGACTTTGCAATTTTTTGGGGGTATCACCTTATGTGGAGGACTTTGATATACGTAGTTTAATAACATGTAATTAATGTGTTTTTGGCGTGCTTCAAAGTTCAGGTCAAATTTTGATAAAGCTGTAAAGTAAAGAACATACAGGTGTGATTGTGCTGAAGTATGGCACATGACAGAGCTAAAAACGAAGTGTTGAAAGTGCTTAGATTTGCTTTAAATTTTGGACACAAGTTGGGCATAGGCCGTATATTAATTTTTGAAAGTATCGGCTCGAGCTTTGCAGTCGCAGCCGAGATATTCAACGATCTTTGCGGATAAGAGAGTACGCGAACTGTAAGGTTGACTAAAATTAGAAGACGCAGTCATACTCGTAAATTTCTTTAGGTCTCCGCCGAGCTCTCGCCAAGGGTTTGCCAAGCATCCTACGGCTTTGCCAGTCTTTGTAGACATCTCTAACGACCCTCTCTGGATCTCCGCTGTGCGCGATCGATGTTTCGACCCGAACTGTCGTCAACCCCAACGGCTGTTTCAATTCCAACAACAACGGCTGACTTCATGTTTCACCATCGAATCCTCTTCCTTCTGTTGTTTTATGAACCCAAAATATTCCGAATGAAAACTTCCAAAACCGAAACTCGTTCGACGCGCTCCGATAACGACCCCAAAAGTTCTCATAAACAGTGCGTACGGTAGGATGCACCCGAAATCACGCGACGAAATCGTTTCTCTCGTTTCGTTGAAAGGCTCTTCCGCCCAATTCTTAGTCGAGTTGTGACTTTACAAGCGCCCTCGACTTGTGCCCACGTGGGTTCAAAGTCTGCAGACAGGGAACGGAACGACCTTAATGTTGTGACAATGTGATTGTAAGGTTGTTTAAGGGATCAATGAGAAAGCGAGGAGGGTTTAGCGATTGAACTTATAAATCGGAATTAGTCATTGCGAGTAACAGGAAATGATATTGAATGGGAACAAAGTTTCGTTTTGTGTTTTATTAATACTAAGTCATATGTTTGCTTATGACGAACGATTTATCTTGCCCCTAGTTTATTAGTAAACATTTTCACTATGTTTACTACTGTGCACTAGTATTTTTATAAAGTGCGTAGACCTTCCGTCACTTCACAAAAAATCCAATTTTGCACAGTGCATTACACTTTTTTACAATTTTTCGCACCGTGCATTTCAGCTGTGTCGTGTGCGTACCAGTTTTTCCAGAAAGTCCGTAGACTTTTTTGTCGCACCATGCAGCCTTTTTGCGGTGTGCGTTTGACCTTCCGCACTGTGCAAGTGCAATATCAAAATTTGTCGCCAACGCACCGTGCATTTTGCCGTTTTCGCACAATGCCATAAAGAAGAAATTTGCACCGTGCAAATGCTTTGGCAATCCCGAAGTTGTAAAAATCTTGTGTCGCAGCGATATTACAATTGCACAGTGCGAGCTTCACTAAAAATTATTTTTCCGTTTACGATTTTGATCGAATCACGGCAAAAAAGTTTTATTACAGTACTCTATTTACACTGTTGACCTCTCATCGTCGTTACCAATACAAATCAGCCAAAAAATTTTAAAACTCGCGGAATTCCCCGCTGTAATATCGAATCGGGGATAGACCTGAGAGATGATGCAAGAAACTACGCCAGTGCTTTCAACGACATCCACTTGTATTCGATGTTCTTTTGTTGGAAATGCTTGATCAAAAATCATCGCAAGGTTTTGGAAATTCAAAGAAAACAACTTAAAGATAAATATTATGTTTGCTTGTTTACTGCAATCGTTAATGTCGTCGACTTGCAAGGTGAATATCAGTCAGTCGGAAAAATAATGAGGGCAAATTCGCTGAGCCACTCGCTTCGCTGAACTGAAAAGCAATTTGATTTTGCCGCGGGGCAATTCGTTTTCTCGGCGGCGTTGCGATTTTCGATGCGACAGAGCGCTCATTGTTTCCCGACAAATTGATAGCTTTACTGAATGCAATGAATAGTGAACGACATTTCAATTTGGGCCGAACGTGGTGAACATATCACGGGGAGCTTTCGCTGGTGTCCACCGAAAGCATAGTTTACGGTACAGTCGATATTTTTATGTCGGTAGGAGACCAAAGGGCGCTACGACTTTTCGGGTCAGCGACAGTCGTAATATGCATGTGAGAGGCTAGGAGAAGACTTAGTTATATAGTAGAAATAACAAGATTGATCGGGTCCTAGGATAGTTTATCTCTATTTTGAGGAATTTTACATGTGCTCACATCAATTACATCTACACAAAGGTTAGGGATGTTGGTTTTTTAAACCAGGGTTTTTTAGAACCTTCGGTCTGAAAATTTCAGTATTCATCCAAAAATAATGCATGAAAATATATACAGATATATATTAATCTCCATGAAATTTTTGTGTGTCTAACTCTCCTCATTTTTCATGCTCTCTCGGAAAACGAAGATCGTTGAAGATCTCGGCTGTAAATGTTGGGCCGGATTCAAAATTTTTTGATTTTGTTGTGTAGTCCATGTGGAGTATATATGCAAAATTTCAAGACAATCTAAGCCTTAATTCGCGGGGAAAGATACTTTGAATTTGGTCGATTTTTTCATTTTTTATTTTTAACTTTTTACTATTTTCAAGTAAAGAAATTACCAAAAAAAATCCTTTTACCATCTTCCTTGCTTCTACGACCAGACTCAGCACCCATTGAGCACAGTCGTAATACGAATCGATTAGCCGACAGCGCTCTTTTCGTGTGGCCGCGTTCTTTGGACACAACTGCATAAACAGGATAAAAAGAAACGGGGAGAGAAAGCTGGTCGTCTCATAAAAACCTTCAAGAGCAAACGTTTTATTATCGATTCCGAAGCCGTTGTACTTTTTTCTTTACTTTTGGAAACACAAAAATTGCAGGGAGTCCCCGATGGATCGGACGATATCGGAGATGATTAGGGTTTGAAAAAATTGCGTCATTGCTATGGAACTTTATCAGAGAAGAGAGACAATTTGGTCTTAGTAGCAACCAGGTTGAATTTCGAAAAATTAAGGGCGGTTTTATCGTCAAATCAACTGAAATTATCGATATTTGCCTAGTATAATATAAATTTTGACGTCATATACAATATTTTGCTGTAAAAATGGTTTACAATATATTTAAATTATACAAAAACGCTTTAGCCAACATCTCCATCCCATTTTCAAACAAATATCACCATTTTTTAAAATCAGTTTGAATTCCCAGCAATTTTGGTAACATTTGGCATTCTGTTTCAAGCAAAATTTTTTCGGCGTTTCCGAAAATTTCGGCCACATTTTCTTCGAAAGTCAGCTGATGAGCCAGTTTTTAGCCGTAGTTCCGCGTTTTCTTCATTGAATTTCGTGAAAGCAGCTTCTTTATATTATGTTAGACCATCTGGCTTAATTTTTTCTAATTTTTTTTTTGCATTCGAGCTGTCACGAAAGGGAAATTGGCCTTTTTTGGGTGGGAGACTAATATTGAGTGCGTTTGAGGGCGTGTGACCCGCCTTATGGAGCGTTTTTTAGCCGAGGAAGAGGCCTGAAACTATTGCTTATGAGGCTTTTGAGGATTCAGTTATCTGTCGTGGATTTTGAAGGTTTTTAGGTCTAAAATAAGGTAAAACACCTTGGTTCAGCTTCGTTCCTGTCAAAACGTGAGGTTGCTACAATTTTAGAAGCATTTTCTAGAGATGAAATCGATTTTTTGGAAAATCATTTTGATTGCTGCCAAGGAGAATATTTTTTGGTTCCTCTTCCCCACATGATTGCTCGTGGCGTCTATTTTCTTCCTTGTTTATCTCAAAACTTGCTACTTTTTGTTTATCTCCCTACATTTTGCCGAGTTCCTTCGGGAATTTCGAGAAAAGTCAGGTTTCTTCAACATCAGTCTATGATAAGATGTGTAGTATTGAAATCGCTGCAAAACAAGCTTGTTGAGGTGAACAAACCCTTGATTATGTTGTTTTCCGCTCCGTAGTGGTGTATTCTTGTCGAAAATTGGTAAATCTCTTTTGTTTTTGCAGGAAACCCATAGCAATCTTATTTTTCCCAAAATTCGTCGCGATTTGAT